CTACCAGGTACCCCTTGGAGGTGAGCAACATACCAGCTTTGTCTGTGCCCTTCCTCTTTAGCCCAATATGCTCCCAGCTGATTGGCTGGAGGGCAAGCCCCTTTTCTGTAGGGTCTCCAGAGGTCTCCTCAAGCTAAGGGGAAGGTGGAAAGAACACAGGAAGCAGTTGCCACATCTCACCCCCAAGGACATTTTCCAAATGTGATGCCTTTCCAATGATTTTTAAGGTAATATATACTGACAAGATATTTGTCAAGAAGTCCGTGGTAAAAGACATCAAGGCAGTCGTTCTTAATCTTGGTGGAGGAGGAAGGGGTCACAGACTTGCTTTGCGATGACCCCTGATGACGGCTATGAACTCTCTCCTCAAAAGAAATGCACACACACTGTCTCAGTCACTAAGGCTGCCGTAACAAAATACCACAGACCGGGTGGCTTAAAGAACAGAAATTGGTTGTCTCAAAGTTCTGGAGTCTAGGAGTCTAAAACAGGGTGTCGTCTGTGTTAATTCCTTCTGAGGGCTCTGAGGGAGAATCTGGTCCATGCCTCTCTCCTAACTTCTGGTGTTGGCCAGCAACCCTTGGCGTTCCTTGGCATTTCAGTCTTTGCCTCTGTCTTCACACGGCCGTTTTTCCTTTGTGTCACTCTCTGTGTCTCCTCGCCTCTTTTATAAGGACACCACTTATATTGGATTAAGACCCGTTGTAGTCCAGTGTGACCTCATGTTAAGTGATAACATCTTCAAAGACCCTATTTCCAAACAAGCCCACATTCACAGGTACGGGCATTAGAGCTTCAACACATATATTAGGGGACACAATTCAACCATTACACACACACACATACACACTGATGTAGGCAGTTTCAGGGGGTTCACCTCCATGGACCCTGGGTTCAGAGCCCCTGCAGTTTCAAGGAAGCAATGTGAAAGTGGGTTGGTGAGACAGGACAGAAGGAAGTGTAAGAGTGCCACCTGTTTTTGGTGGTTCTGATCCAGCAGCCTCCCCACTGCCACCTCATAACCCTGATCTCTGGTTGATTGCCCCTGGTGGCAGCCCCAGCCTGGGAGACACGAAGGGACACAGGGCACCATTTGGCTCTGTTTATGTCATCCCTCTGGCCTTACCACGCTAACTCCCTGGGTTACCCTCTGAGTCCATCCTTTAAGCCTCTGGGATGCTCAGCTCTTCCAGGTTCAGAGGAACCCAGGCCTTTGGGGACACTTCAATCCTCCTCTCACAGTTAGGTTGGACAGGTAGGTCACCCACAGAATGTCCCCAGGTAACCCAACCCAGAGAGCCAAATCCAGCCCTCTGCTACCACATTTGCTGAAACATGAACACGGAGAGCCTGCTCTTCTCGGACGGCTCCAGAGCCACCTTGTTGTCTGACCCGTGGGCCTCAAATAGTTTCCTCTCCCTTCTCATCCCAGCTCAGGCTGATCTTCCAGCTCTCTAAGCAAGCCATGGGCTGCCTTTGTATGAACAATTTGCATATCTAAAACCCATATTTACATTTTACAACTTAGACTCCTGGGAAACAGGTCAGAGTCTGGTCCCCAATATTCTAAAGAGAAGGGAACATTTTTTTTGTCAGACCTGTGCAACCCCTACCAAAGGCGTGGTAGAGTGTGTCAGTGGGAATGTTGTGTGTGCTCCCCACACAGCTGTGTGTCCAGAAGGAGGCTGTGAGCTTCCTTAATCTGGGGTACCCTTGTCCTTGTGTTCGCTCTGGCACAGGCATAGCCTCCATCTGGCATGCTGTGTGTTCTCTCAAAGTCCATTTTGTGTGTCCTCAGTCTGTTGTGTGGATCTTTGGGGTAGATGCATGTCTGTGAGGTGTAAAGTATTGAACCTCTCCTGGCCTCTATTTCATCTGTAAAATGGGGATGATCATCATAGTACTCACGTCTCAGGACTGCTGTGAAGGTTGCATGAGTTGATACCCTTCAAGCACTTACAACAGGGTATGGCACCTGGTGCCCGCTTGGTAAATGTTGGTTCTCGTGATGTGATTCCCACAGATATCTGCAGCCTCTCTATTCCTTACCCTCCTTGACTTGAGGACTCCAGTGTCCTCTGGAGCAGGCTCCAACATCCTTGTCATGGATTGAATTGTGTCCCCCAAAAAATATGTGTCAACTTGGCTAGGATTCCCAGTACTGTGTGATTGTCCATCATTTTGTTATCTGATATGATTTTCCTATGTGTTGTAAATCCTGTCTCTGTGATGTTAATGATCTAATGATCTAATAATCTACAAGATTAGGTTGTGTCTTAAGTCAATCTCTTTTGAGATATAAAAGACAGAAGTGAGCAGAGAAAGAGACATGAAGCCCTCATACCACCAAGAAAGCAAAGCAAGGAGCAGAGTGCATCCTTTCCTGCGCTGAGAAGCTCCTAGAGCAGGGGAAGATGGATGACAAGGACCTTCCCCTAGAACCAACACAGAGAGAAAGCTTTCTCCAGGAGCTGGCACCCTGAATTTGGACTTTTAGCCTCCTAGACTATGAGAGAATAAATTTCTGCTCGTTAAAGCCATCCACTTGTGGTATTTCTGTTACAGCAGCACTAGATAACTAAGACAATCCCTTTGGAAATGTCACTGCTCCAAGCCTGAGTGTCGAATCAGTGGCCAGATAGGGGGAAGGGAGGACCATGGATGGGGGGAAAGAGGGGTGGGGGCGTCTGGCGGTGGTATTTTCTCTCAGGTGGCCTGCATGCTGAACCAGAGGCTGGGGAGGGACCTGGTCCCAGGAGGATGGGGAAAGGAAAGGGGGTACTTACTTACAGAGAGCCAGTGGCCCTCCAGGGAAATATAGGACTCATACAGGAAATACAGAACTCAGAGCCAGAGGGGCACCTATATAGCACCCTGGCTAGAGTGACTGCTCAGGGACCCACCGAATCTTCTTCATTGACATGGAGACTACATTAGAGCTGCCTTCCTGGAAGAAGCCTCTGATCTCCTGCCCCACCTGTCTTGGACCCAGGACACCTGCTCCTCCCAAAGCTGATTCCCCCCAGCCCAAAGCTGGCATTTGCTTGGAGTTGTCTCCCCTTCCTTGGGCAGGGTTCCTGCTAAGCTTGATTAGTTTGGTCTTTATTGTATCTATTCACTGAACAGACAATTTATAGGACCCTCGCAAACATGAAGCAGGCTGCGGGGAGGGCTTCACAGAGGCAAATGAGACCTCCCCCAAGGCCTTGAAGAGCTCTCCATCCACAGGGATAATTGAATGAGAGACTTTCCCACCAGAGATATCGGTAAGAATGCTGAGAGGGCCTTGCTGAACTGATTTAGGCTATCCTGGAAGGCTTCCTGGAGGAAAGGGGCAAAAGATATGAGCCTTAAAGACCATTTCAGCAGAGAAGAGAGGAAAATCCATTATCATTTGATCAAAATGATTTCATGGAATGAATCCTAAACAAGTGCCAGAGGTTTGATGTTCTCAGTTCTAACCAGGTCTTTGAACCGGTTCATTGTGGTTGGAAATAAGAATTTGCATTTCCACCCCAGATATACTGAGTCAGAATCTACATTTTAACAAGATCCCCAGGTGATTCTTATATAATATATTTTAGAACCACTGCTCTACTGGTGGTTCTCAGAATTGATCCCTAATCAGCAGCATTAGCATCGCCTGGGAATTTGTTAGGAAGGTAAATTCTCAGGAGGGGTTCAAACCAGTTCTGACCTTGACCAGCTGAAAGACCTTGGATGGGTCATTTCCTCCTCTGAACCTCTACTGCCTCATTTGTGAAGTGGGGGTGTTAGATGAGACGAAGTTTTGAAAGCACCCCTTACTGACCTGGGGTTTAGCCATTTCCTGTATTTATCACAAACGCAGGAAGCAAAATCAGAGTCTCCTCAAAGGAGTGCATAGACTGTAGACCCAGGGATTTTCTCAGAAAAAAGGCCTAGGGGTTCATGTTCTGTGTGCCCCACCCTCACCCCAGGCCACAGCCCAAGCAGCCCAGCTCTCATCAGACATCTGTCTTGGTCACAGCTGCCTGCCTGGCACCCAGCACTGCATCTGGCACAATAAGTGTTTATTGAATGAAGAGATGAATGAATGAGATAACAGAGGCTGTGACAGGCTTCTTGGCCAAAACAGAACTCTGTCCTCAGATCGTCAGATCCCTTGCGGTTTTGGCTCACTAATATCCCATGCTTGATCTCAGGATAAGAGGGACCATGGCGAAGGAGCTGCACTTTCACAAATCTCCCATCCCGGGACCTCTGGTTTCTGCTGCAATCAACAGAAGGTGGGTCACAAAACAGTTCTGCAGCACAAGGACCCTTGAGGAAAAGTCTGGATTCTGTGCCAACTTACATTTATTGAGGGCCTACTGTGTATCAGGTGTTGTCACATAGCTTCATCCATTTCATCGTGGCCTCGGAGGCCTGTACAGGAGAGCGTGGGCATTTGGGGCCGCAAATCCCAACTGTGCTGACCAGCTGAGTGACCTCAGGCAAGTCGCTGCACCTCTCTGAGACTTCCTTTTCGATGTCTGTAAAATGAAAAACAATAGACTCACTTCGTCGGGTTATGGTGACGGAATGAGCACGAGGAAGCAGAATGCTTCATAAATGCTAGTTTTTATTGTTTCTCTGGGCACACAACCCCGCACGCCTCCCCCCAAGGGCGCACACACGGAAGTGTTCACACTCTCATATACTCGCAGATGTACAGAGACATGTGAAGGGGCCAACCGCAGGCACTCGCCGCGCCTCAGACCCAGGGGCCTTCGCACAACCCCGCGGAGAAGCCACTGGGTCCTTGGCTTACCTCGCTTCCTCGCAGCTCTTTATGAATGAACTCCGGCCGCGAGTTTATTTCTTTATGAATGGGAGCCCAAGCAGTGAATGAAGCCAGGAGCCAGCCCTTGCCTCCCGATTGGCTGCCGGCGCTGGGAAACTCCGCCTCCCGCCCCGGCCGGGCAAGGCTCCTGATTGGCGGGCGTGCCGGCCCTGGGGTTTCATTCACAAAAGTCAATGAAACAAAGGGAACTGCGGGGGGACGAAGGGGGGCCGAGGCCCGGGCGCAGGAAACGCACCAATCAGCGGTTCCCCCGGGTTCACAACTGTCTGCGGCGTCCGGAAAACTCTCCGGTGCGCGGGGACTGGGGCCCGGCCCCCTCGCTCCGGCCTAGCCCCACGGCCCTCCGAGCGGCCCGGGGCGTGCTCGGGGCCCCCAGCGGCTCCAGCACCGACGGCCGAGCCCCAGGTGAAGCTGTGGGAGGGGAGGGAGGACACGTATCTGCGATCCCCGCTTCGCCTACCACACTCGCCACCCTCTCCCCGGCCCCCCCCCCCTTCGCAGATCCCAGGGCGGGGGTTGGCGGCGCTGGGGTTCTGGGCCGGAGGGGGCGCCCGAGTTGGGGGCGTGCGGATGGTGCACGCCTGGGCCGCTCCTCTGCGCGCGCGCGCACACACACTCACACACACACACACGCACACACACGCGTCTTATGTAACCGAGCCAGGCAGAGCGGGGCTGCAGGACGCAGCAGAAAGGCGCGTCCAGGTCCCAGAGCAGGTGGGACCTTGTTTGGCGGGAGGGGACTGGCGGCGGCGCCTGGCTGCAGGGCGGAAACCTCTCCAGCTCCAGAGTGAATCCGCGAAGTTTCGCCTCGGACCCCGGGACGGCCCCTCCCCGCCCCTCGCCCAGTTGTCCTGCTCCGCCGCCCTCTGGGACGGTGTGCGAACGCAGCCCACCTCCCACCCTCAGGTCTCTGCCCTCGCGCGGGGCCCGAGCCGCGGCCGGAGGGAGCGGCCGGATGGAGCGGAGGATGAAAGGCGGATACTTGGACCAGCAAGTGCCATACACCTTCTGCAGCGTGAGCGCCGCGCGGCCTCCACGCCCGCCACGCCCCGCCCCCTCCCACGGCCCCCGCGGGGTCCTGGCTGCCCGGCCCCTGGGTCACCCGGGAACCCCAGCCCCGCCCCCCAGTCCGGCTGCCTTTGGGTGACTCGGGGGCATTCTCCCGCTTCCCTCAGAAATCGCCCGGAAATGGGAGCCTGCGCGAAGCGCTGATCGTCCCGCAGGGGAAGCTCATGGACCCCGGCTCCCTGCAGCCCCCCGACTCCGAAGGTAAAGAACCGGAGAGACAAACAGCGCCCCTCCACCCCCACACACAACCCGGGGGCCGATCCTGGAATCCCCGCCCGTTTCCCGAAAAGACAAGCGGTTCAAGGGACTCCGGTCATTCTTTTCAGCTCCTACCCCCAAGGGGGGTCGCCGGGCTCGCTGGGGCTCCCTGTCTTTCCCCATCCCTCCACCTCACCTTCTCCAATTTCAATATTCATCCCTCAGATCTCTTCCAGGATCTAAGTCACTTCCAGGAGACGTGGCTTTCCGAAGGTGAGTAGTTTTGTGACCTTTTCTATACTTGGGCCATAGGAGGCTCTCGAGCGCCTGGCGTTGCAGCCTAGCCCACTTCCCCTCTTCCTTTCCCAACCTCAGGGGGGTCTGGAAGACCCCCTCTCCACTCCCCTTGCTTCTCTGCTCTCCTTAGCGCCCAGGGTAGACACTTATATTGATATTTATTTTCTCTGCCCTGAGCCAAGCTTGTGTAACTAGGCCTGGGGATGAATCAAACCATTGTGTGGGGTATTTGCTTATTTGAATGGAACTTGGCCCCAGTCCCGTTTTCCTGGCTGAAATTTTCATTTGCAAAGTTTGTTTGGCAGCAGCCGCCTGGCCGAGATGTGTGTTGGGGGAAGAGGGGGTGATGAGGAGAGGGAGCAATTAATTTGTTACCTACCTTCAGGAGTTGCCATAAGATTGATATCCACCATACCCCCCCACCCCCGCCTTTGGCTTCCCTTTTCCCCAATCCTTAGAGCCAAACAATTTACTGTCTGAGCCAAAAGAACAACAAAAATTTAAATAATTCTTTTCTGATGCACTTTGGCTAAGAGTGCCCAGGGCTCACTCCCCAAATAGCCATGATTGTAATTCTGAGGGTAACTATTCCTCCTCCATCCTTCCTGCATACCTCCACCCCCGGCCAATTACCCCTTTCTGTGTGCTGGGGGCTTGGCTACAAACTGGCTAGAGTGGAGTTAGTGGCTGGGCCTTGTCTGGGTAGCAAATTGTGTTCTGGGGGCCTCCTGGTTGTGTTCTTTAGTGTATGTTGGTGGGGCCTGAGAGTGTCACTGGTAGGGCTGCAGGTGGAGGCGAAATGGTGGCTTAGACAGTCTGTGGGAGGAAAGAGTTAACACTCCCATTTTAGGATCTCTATTTCAACACGTGGCAAACCAAGAAACCAAAACACTAGGAACCCCATGTTGGGAGCTTTTCTCTTCCTTCGGGCTTCTCATCCTGCCATCTGGGTAGCTTTCTTTGGGGATTTCTTTAAGCTCAAGCCTAGCTCCTTCTCGAACCCTCTATGGGAGTTTGTGGTAGAAGGAATAGACCCCCTGGCTATATCCTTGGAGTGAGACTCAGTCTGTCTTGGTCACTGTAGTATCCCAAAAATATGTTGAAAGAATGACTGTTTAGCACAAAAAAGGTACTCAAGACATTTTGCAGAATTAATGGCCGACCAGCTGGGTGGGTGCTGGAGGGATGTGGGGGTATTGTGCAGCTCTTCCCCAACTCTAGCAGCCCTGCGTGCCCAGCTCCGAGTTGCAGGCAGAGCAGCACCCTGCCGGCCCAGACTCCTCCGGAGGTTCCGGAGCTAGGCTGAAGCTAAGAACGCAGAGGTGTCAGTTTCCATGTTCCCTCAAAGACTTCCTTTCCCAACGCCTGATTTCTGTCTGGCTCACCAGGCTGTGTCTATCAGCTGCGGGTCCCTGCGCTCCCCACAGTGGGCAGCCCCTGGGACTGGGAGCTGGGGTGGGCTCAGAGGCTGGCTTTTTGACAGCAGCTGTTCCATTTGTGCTAGGTTTGGAATGGGAGGGGAAGGAAAATGTTCTCATCTCTCTACCTTGGAAGCCCCACCCCTTGGGGGTGGGAGTCTAGAGATTGTGTGTCTGTCTGTATGTGTCAGTATGACAGAGTGTGTGAGTGTGTGTGTGTCCATGTGTGTGTATATGTGTGTGTGTGTTACATACTGCTGCCCTGGGAGTCCCTGTACATTTAAATCCAGTGGGTGGGGAGGCAGGGGTGGGGATCGCAAGGCGTAGGGGGGGCTGGGATCTCCTTGGTTCCCTCTCCTTCCTTCTGAGGGAGCAGCTCAGGTTCCCAGCTGGCGATGGATGGTCAGGCCTGAGGGGGGGATGCTGAGGCCGCTCGCTCCTTCTCGCTCTCTCTGCGGAGACAGATGCAGCTGCCGGGGCCCTGTCCCCCTGCACCGTCCCAGAACCACCCCAGCCTCCTCTCCTGTCTCTTCCCACCAGGTCAGTGACCCCTGCAGCTCAGGGGAAGCTTTGGGGTGCTAGGGAGGGATTAGATCCTTTGGAAACTTGCCAATGGTGGGGCGCATCAGGCGGAATGGGCGCCGCAACCCAATCTCCCTCCCGCAGCTTGGTTTCTCCCTAAATCCCCGAGAAGCTGGTTTGCCCCAATTCAGAGAGAAGCAGTGGGTCCAGATGATGCTCAGGCTGGACCAGGGACTGGTGTAGAGAGATGCAGGTTTGGCTGTGGTTCAGAGTCCGGTGCATTGGGAGTGACGTGAGTGGGGTTTGGTGGAGGCGACTCAGACATCTTCGGGGTTGGAGTTTTTCTAGACAGAGGGGGATGAATTGAGGCTAGGGGGGTGTGTCGGTTTCAGGGTGCCTGGGGTCTGCTGAGATGCTGGAGAAAGGATCAGGCTGCTGCAGGCAAACCCAGGCTCAGGCAGGTTGAGTCCACAATGCGGCTGGTTATGGTGGTCACCAATGTGCTAGTTTTGGTCAAGGGTTCCTCTCCGGGCTTCTGGGGGCCCTTGGGAACCCTCGGGGACAATGAGTTTGTGATGCATAAGCGACATAGACTCTGGGCCATGTATGTCCTTTGTGTGAGGCTGAGGTCCATAACCTGGGGTCTGTGGATTCCCAGAGGCTCGGTGGATGGGTTGCAGGGGGCCTTGAGCCCTCTGCTATTGCATGTGTAACTGTTGGGGGTACACCACGCACACAGGTACATGCATTTTTTTAGGAAGAGAAGGAGCCATAGCTTGTATCAGATTCTCAAAGGGGTGGGTCCATGCTCCCTGAAAGGGTAGAATCACTGCTTCCAAACCCTTCTCCAAGGGCTCCGGTCCCCTTGCCCTTTGGCTTTCCATCTTCATCGTATTTGTGGGTCCAAAGGGAGAGTCTGTGCACAAAGAGGGTGCATGGAGGGTGCTTTTCACCTGTGTGCTGCGGCGTCCCCACCAGAGTGGAGTAAGGGAATTAGGGTGTGTGAATCGTGCGCAGCATGTCTGTAGGGAGAGATGGAGTTAATCCCCTCCCCCAGTCTTTTCTAGCTACAATGGCTCCTTCTACATCTTTCTGTCTCCTCCCCTTCTAGAAGGCTCCTGGGGACAAATGTCCCCCTCCATAGATAGAGAACTGGTTCTTTCCAGTACAGAGGCTGCCAGGGTGGGGGCGGGGGTAAGCGTGAGAGACAAGGCAGTGGTGACACAATGGAGCAGAAGCTTCCACGAATGCCGCGCCCCCTCCCCCCCACCGCCCAGGGACACCTTAAGAAGCCCCCTCCCGAAAGATTGGACCCTAAGAAGGAGAATAGGTGATGGGGCATGTCTGTTGTAGGTGGCTAACCCGTTGTAGGCTTAGCTGCTCGGCTGTTTTAACCTCCCAGTTCTTCCGGAGCCCAGTTTGGGAGGCCCCTAAGACCCTCCTCTTCTCCTACTGACCGCCCTGTTTGAGAAACATTCCCTGAAACTCTTTCTCTCTCTCTCTCTGGGCATTATGCTGGCTGGCACTTGTCCCTTCCCCTTCTTACTCATCTGCCATCTCCCCAGGCAGATCAACTCCTCCTTAGTGCCAGGATGGAGTTGGGGACAGACCCTGGCACACTGACATCAGCAGCCAAAACTCAGCCAAGTCAACAAATAAATAGAGTGGTGTATACTCAAGACCAAACATGGTAATTAAAAATTCTCCTGCTCTCCAGGAACGCAAGGCTCGGCGTTCCTGTTCCTATTTCTATGCTTGTTGGCAGTCTCTGGGCAGCTGAGGCCCTGTCCTGCCCCTTTAGGGGAGGGCCAGTGTTTTGGGGAGGGACTGAGCAGGGACTGGGGTTCATGCCGCAGCCCATTTTTGCCTCAGCTGATTTCTTCCTAGCTCTGGGAAGAGGACGGTGCCACCTCTTGGGATGTGATCGGTGAGCTGGGGGTGGTTTCCTCTGAGGACTTCTGGGGAGTGGGGGTTCTGGTCAAGCCTCTAGGCTCAAGAACAGGGAGGAGAGGTGACTTTTGGGGCTCTCTGCTCTTGGTTTTGGGTGTCAGTTTTGGGTGTCATATGAACTGGCCAGTGATGCCAGCAGGAGCTGCCCCCAGCCCATTATCTCAATGGAAACTGGCAGTTAATGAGGTCCCAAGAGGGAGCCCAGAGTGCATCAGCCTCCCCCAAGTTCTGAGTCTCCCCTGCCCTTGGGACCCTCCTTGCCTAGGTAGCAGGGAGGGAAGTGTTGCTCACCCTGCTCCCATCACCCCCATCCCCGCCACCTTTAGGGGTGTCACCTACTTGACGTGACAGAGGGCATAGCATGGATGAGCATGGGTCTTGTGTCCCTGGGTAGCTTGAGCAGGTTTTGAGTCCCTCCTTTCACCCACTGTTTCCTAAACAAGCCTATTAAGGCCACCAGGGGCACTTGTTAAAAATACAGGTGCCTGGGCCCCACCCTGGGCCTATGGAATGACACTGTCCAGAGAAGGGGACTGGGAATCTAGATTTTTAACAATCCCTGAGTGATTCTTTAATCAGGCCAGTTTGGGAATTGCTGCCTTTGTGCCTTATTTGAGCTCCTGAAAATATGTTTCCTGGCTGTTGGTTTCTGTTTGTTTTTGCCAGAGGGATATCACGTCCCACTGATTTATTGGATCATCCTAGAATTGTTTTATGCTGACTTTTCCTGAGTTCATTAGATGCTGGTGGTTCCTTATTCTTAAACTCCTTGCCCTCAATCATTCTGTCAAGAAGTAAACTATCCTACACCAATGGCTGTCAAGTCAACCCGACTTAGGGTGACTCAACGTGTGTCAGAGTAGAACTGTACTCCATAGGGTCTTCAGTGACTGATTTTTCAGAAGCTGATCACCAGGCCTTTCTTTCGAGGTGCCTCTGGGTGGGCTCGAACCTCCAATCTTTCAGTTAGCAGCTGAGCTCGTTAACAGTTTTTACCAGCCAGGGACACTCAACTATCTATAAACCTATATTTAAAAGCACTTGGCACCTCTGATACTTAAAGGAAGTTAGTGAAGAATCTTCCTGCCAAGCAACTTATCACACCCTGAAATGTCTGTTGTAAGGAAATGTGCTTTCCCTGGAGAGGACTTGTCTCTCATGTTACCTAGTGTGCAGAGAGGGGGGCAACCTAGGGTGAGGGAAGGGCTGGGTTGGTTAGGAACTTTTCTCTTCTGGCTCCCAGGCCCACGATGCTGGCTCCCACCAGGTTGAGGACCAGAAGTGATTATATGTTTATTCTTATCGTCAACAAATGATAGACTGAGTGTCTATTCTGGCCAGACCCTGTTCTGGGTGCTAGGAAATCAGAGAGGAACAAGACAGGTAAACCCCTGCCCTCACGAGCTTACTTTCCAGTGGAAGAGATGGACAGTGAGCAAGTAAGATAAGTCAGATAGTGATATGTGCTGGGGGTGGGGGGACAAAACAGTAGGATAGACAATTAGGGGGGAGCGCTTTGTTTCTGGTTTGGGTGGCCAGAGAAGGCCTCTGAGGAGGTGACAAGTGAGCTGAGAGCTTGGTGGCCAGAAAGAAAAAAATAGGCAAAGCTCTTGGGATGATGGACAGCAGAGGGAATGAGCGAGGCATGTTTGAGAAATCAGAAGGAGACCAGGGCAGCTGAAGAGGGACAGGCGAGGAGGTTGGAGAGGTGAGCCAGGCCAGATCATGTGAGGCCTTGGAGGCCAAGTGGGGAGAGTTTGGATTTCATTCTAGATGCAGCAGGTGGCCACTTGAGTGCTTTAAGCAAGAGAAAGAAGTGATCTGATTTCTGTTTTTAAAAGATCACGCTGACAGCTATGTGGAGGGGTGAGTGGAAGTAGGAAGTTCCAATAAAAGGCTGTGGCTGGAATCCAAGTAAGAAACCCTGGTGGCCTGGCCTCGAGTGGACACAGTGGAGACGGGATGTGTATTTATATAGGCTGGGGGTGTGGAGGTATTCTTCAGCCATCTACACGTACTCCTCACCCCCAGCCTTTCTAAACTCGCCAGTCATTTTATCCATCAGTTTCCTCATTGTCCAATCTGAGAGCAGTCTCCAGGGAACCAGAGTCCAGTCTCCTTGGGATCCAGGTTCCACTGCCTCACCTTAGAGCCACTCTCTTCCTGGACTATCAGGAAGTTCTTACTGATGTCTATCCTTCCCCTTCCTGCTGCAATCTATTCTTGAGAAATGGACAAAAATGAGCAAGAACACTAGAGTCACGGGAGGTTCTTGTCTGGGTATCCACCTGAGAAACCCAACTCTTGGGAGCCCAGGATAAGAATTAGAAATCAGAGTGGGGATGCCTGGGTCAGAGGCCATGGATGAACTGCTGTTTTATTTTGGTCTTCCTGCCTAATCCCCAAACCCAGCTCCACCCACCCTGGCACCCTGGGAGTGCTCCTCATACCTTCAAGCTTGGAAAGCGCCCCCCTCCCCCAGATGCACATCAAAGTGGGGAGGCACCATGACCTCTGAGTGTCCCCAACCTCCTGCAGTGTTCACCTCTCCCACTGTCATCCCCTTTTCACCTCTCTTCAACCTTCCTCTTCCCTCCATTCATATCCATATCCCCCCACCCCCCAACTCTTGTGCATCTCAAATTCATCTGGGAGGTTGTTGAAAATGCAGGTTCCTGGGCCCAGCCAGATTCAGAATCTGCCCGTGTGAGTCTAAGTCCATCGGCTCTCCTTGTAACTCCTGCCCATCCCAAAAGTGACTCTGCTGGGAGCTTTGAGGGAACTTGGAAGCTCTGAGGGCCAGGGCTGTCTCTATTTCAGAAAAAACGGAGGGAATAAAGACAATGCATCCAGGAAAAGACTCTGGAATCTGCTCAGACAGGTTCTGGGAACACGCAGGCTCTGTGTGCCTTCCCTCCAGGGTCTCAGTGGGGCCCAGAGATGGAGGGCACTAGGACCTGGGGTGGAGCTGCCTTCAGACTGTTGTCCCCTTCTGGGCTGATGCTAATCTGCAGGGCTGTGATAATGGTGTCTCCCAGGGGCTGTCTCCAGGCCCCCCACCCCAGACTCACCTCTGACTTTTCTCTGCAGCTCAGGTACCAGACAGTGACGAGCAGTTCGTTCCCGATTTCCATTCAGAAAACTGTGAGTAGAGGGCCCTGGATGGGAGGGGGTAGGAGGGGGAGGGCAGGAAATGAGTCACAGGGATACAGAATCACAGAGATCAACTTGTTCTCTCCAGAAGAAAAGGGTGAAGGGCAGGGCTCCCCATTCTTTGTTTGGACTCAAAGACTAAGGTAGTACCTGGGAGATGAAGACCGTGGTTCAAACTGCCCCCTGCTAGCTGTGTGACCTTAGAGTAGACACTTCATCTCCCTGATCCTCATTTCCTTATCTCTGAAATGAGGGGCTTGGACCAGTTCAGCAGGCTCCAATTCTAGTGTTCTAAGTTGCTTTCCTGCAACTGGGGGCAATTTTGCCTCTCAGGAGACACTTGGCAATGTCTGTAGATCTTTTTGATTGTCAAAACTTGGGGAGGGGGGTGCTGCTACTGGCATTTAGTGAGTAGAGGCCAGGGGTGCTGCTAAAAAATATCCTGCAATGCTTAGGACAGCCTCCCACAACAAAATATTATCTGGCCCAAATGCCAACAGTGCCACTGTTAGGAAACCACCCCCCCTGCTTTCCTTAAACCAAAAATATCCCCTGAAGTCATCTGAAAACCAAAAAATAGTTTAGCTTAAGAAGTAAAAAAGGTCTGCATTAAGCATTATGCTCTTTTAAAAACTATCTATATGGGATCAAATTGACAACAGCATCTCCAACTCGAAAGATTAGATAGGAACCTTAGGGGGCAGTGAGTTTATGTTAATGAGGGAGGAACAACTCAGAAAAAGAGGGTGAGAATGGATGCACAACTCAAAGAATGTAATCAATGTCACTGAATTGTACACGTAGAAACTGTTGAATTGGTGTAGGTTTTGTTGTATACATTCTCAACAACATCAAAATAAAGTTTAGGAAAAAAAAAGAAACCCTGCTTTAATGTAAGATACTTTGCCCTCAAATGTCTTCACCAGTGAAATGGAACAGGGCACAAATCATTGCAAACAGTGCTCACCCAGCTTGGAACCAACTCTTTGCCGCAGCCTGATGGTTGGAGTCGGAGGACCCAGCAGGGGCCACGGGAAAGGCTACTGTTCTTCACAGATAATTAGGAGCATGTGTATAATGCTATTCAGCTGACATTCAAGTGGACTAATATCCAATCTTAACCAGAAAAAGATCCTTTATAGCCCCAAATAAGAAAACATTTCCCTTCCTTGGAATTTTCCAGGGCACTCAGGAAAACCACAGGTCTTAGATTGGAGGTGCTCGCTCACATGAAGGTGTTTTCTGGGATTTGGGACTGCATTAAATGTTGAACTTTAGAAGTTTCTTGGGCTAATATTGGACATTAGACTGGGGTATAAAACTAGTCATAATGTAAATAGCCCAACTGATCTCAACACTGTCTGACTACAGATCTTAGGGAGTCCCTGGGTAGCGCAAACAGTTAACATGCTTGGCTGCTAAATGAAAGGTTAGAGGTTTGAGTGCACCCAGAGGCACCTCAGAAGAAAGGCCTGGTGATCTGCTTCCGAAAAATTAGCCATTGAAAACCCTATGGAGCACAGTTCTACTCTGACACACATGGGGTCATCATGAGTTGGGATCAGCTCGATGGCAACGGGTACAGATATTAAAAAACTGAGACCCAATCACCCAGCTGGTCCTCAAAGAGCAGAAGTGCCGGGAAGCCCTGCCTGCCTCTTCTGTGACTCTGATCTCGCTCTGCCACCCCCACTCCCATCGCCACAGTAGCTTTCCACAGCCCCACCACCAGGATCAAGAAGGAGCCCCAGAGTCCCCGCACAGACCCGGCCCTGTCCTGCAGCAGGAAGCCGCCACTCCCCTACCACCATGGCGAGCAGTGCCTTTACTCCAGGTGAGCCCCAGCCAGGCCCTGGGGAAGGGCAGAGGAAGGGTGTCGGGAGGGTGGGAGGTAGGGAGTTAGGGAGGTACCTGTGAGCATTGGCAGCAGTTAAATGCATGGCAGACAACAAAAGGGTTTCCAAATTGCTTAAGAGGGAGCCATACAGCTGAGGGTTTCCTCTGAGTAGTCTGGGTGGACAACGCAGCAGGAAGACTCGGGATGGGTGTAACGCCATGGCAGGGCCTGTTGCTACCAGAGAGACCTGATGTCCCAGCCAACCCAGTTGCTCTGGGCTGGGGAGAGGTGTTCTCAAGAAAAAACCCAGTTTCTGGATTGACGAAAGGAGAAAGCAGTCACTTGGGATGGAGTCTGTGGCTCATGCTGCTCCTTTCCCAGCCCCCTTTATCCCTCCTTCTCCTGGAATCTCTGTGACCACACTTCCCCCAGGGATGGAGAGCTCAAGATGCTAGCCCAGCTTCTCTACTCCCTTACCCCTATCTCCCCCACAATTCCAGTGCCTATGATCCCTCCAGACAAATCGCCATCAAGTCCCCCGCCCCTGGTGCCCCTGGACAGTCACCCCTGCAGCCCTTTCCTCGGGCAGAACAACAGAGTTTCCTAAGGTCCTCTGGTACCTCCCAGCCCCACCCTGCTGACCACGGGTACCTCAGGGAGCACAGGTAAGGAGACCCTGCTCACCTGTGGGCCCAGGTCTCACCAGTTGGTCCTCAAAACCTGAGTGCTCTCCACCTGCCCACAGACGCCTGGGAGGAGGGAGAGAAGGAGGAAGGGATACTGACTGCCCCCCCCCCCAGTTCCCCTTCAGAGCCCATCCTGCAAGCTCTGGGAGTGGCAGTGGGGAGGAGGGGCTGATTCAAGATTCTCTTCTCTCTCCATCCAACCACATCCAGCTCCATCTTCCAGCAGCCCTCGGACATTTGCCACTCCTTCACGTCCTCTCAGGGAGGGGGCCGGGAGCCCCTCCCAGCCCCCTACCAACACCAGCTATCAGAGCCCTGCCTGCCCTACCCACAGCAGAGCTTCAAGCAGGAATACCACGACCCCCTGTATGAGCAGGCGGGTCAGCCGGCAGTGGGCCCCGGTGGGGTCAGTGGGCACAGGTACCCAGGGGCGGGGGTGGTGATCAAACAGGAGCAGATGGACTTCGCCTATGACTCAGGTAAGAGGCTCTCCAGAAAAGGGCAGTGGGGTATTTTTGGGGATGGCCGGTGGGGGTGGAATGTGATCTAATGAACACCAGTTAAACCCAGAATGTCTGCCCGCAAGTTTTGTTTGTTTAGTATTTTCACTTTTATTCTTTTTTTTTTTTATTTTTTATTGTGCTTTAGATGAAGGTTTATAGAGCAAATTAGTTTCTCTGCCCACAAGTTTTGTTTACCTTCCCATCCATCTCTTTACCAGTTCATAATCCAATCCACTCACCTTTTTTCACAGATGCAAAAGAATTATCGATTTTCAATCATCAAACTTTTATTCAGAGAGAAAGATCAGTGGATGTAGAGCCTGGCCCTCGGGTTATATAGGAAAGTGAAAGCATTGATTTCTACTTAACCGGCATTTGGGGTTTTAATTACCAAAGTGCTGTGCCAGAGCATAGGCGTTCGGGAATTGAAGGATAAAAAGATGAACAGGATGTGTCATTGGTCCCTGTCCCCACAGAAGCTTAAAAATACAAAGGGATTTGAATGAAAAGAAACATGAGCATCAAACTAGCCAGGCTCAAAGTTCCCAGTAGGAACACAGGATTAACAGGTGGTTTCCACATCCTGTCTGAGCCTCTGGGTTGATGGGTGACGCTCCCTCCTGGCCAGAGCTGGGGACCGGAAGTCAGGCTGGATGGAGGGACTGCTTTAAATACTAGTTCCACCTGGCTGTTGACAGGAGGGAGACACACTCAGCCATGTTCATAAATAGCTTAGCCTTCAAATCCCCAAGTGCAAGGGTCATTCTCATTTAGGAAGGGCCCAGAAAACCCTGTCTTCCTTCCTCCTGGCTTCTGTTACATTGTTAACAGCCCCAAACCTGAGTTTATCTACAAACCTGCATTAGAAAAATAAATCCAGAAATTAGAGTAGGCTCAAAGTTGGCTAGAGTTTGAGAAGCTCCCTTTTCCCGGTGCCCATGGGCTTTCGGGGACGGGAGGATGGGATGAACAGCAAACCCCTAGGCTGAAAGAGCCAGAAGGGTGCTGCTCTCCTCCAAGCTCACACAGCCGCCTGAGCCCGGCCTGGCAGCGAGATGGAGGGCGGGGGAGGGAGATGCTCTTGCCACTGACCTTCAAAGGCTATAGACCAGAGGGGATTGAGTTACTTGCCCTTGAACTCCTGCCCCTCCCCCTCAGCTTCCTCTGAATGGAGTCAGGAATTCCATTCACAAAATGGAGGCATGAATGAGCCCACCCTCCCGCCTCCTCCCCAAGGTGTCGGATTTCAGCATCTCCTCATTCATAGGTGGGAGTGGAGGAGGGAGGGCCGGACTCGGTAGGAACTTGGACGGGTGGTTCACACAACCGCCTCTCCAAGAGGAGAGGAGGAGTAGGGAGGTTTCAAGCCTATGGAATGGAATGTGCTCTGCTGTCAGACCTGATGCCCACTACCTTCCCCAGATGTATGAAGGCACCTGCTCTCCCTCTCTCTCTCTCTCTCACACACGTGCACACACGCACACACACACACACACACACACACACACACACACACAGGGCTGGGAACCTGACCTGCTGACCGGACATTTGCCCATTCCAAAGGAGTCTTAGGCATGGACACCAAACCCCTTCCCCGGAGGTTCATCCCTCACCTCCCTCCTCCCCCTGCACTCAGGAAACAGCTGCTCCCTGGCATCTAGGGCCTGGTGGAACAGCTTCACCAGCCCCAGCTGCTGCCATCCCTGCCCTCTGCACCCTCAAGCCAAGGAGCTCAAGTCTCCACTCCCTCTGGGTCAACTTCCAGTGGGATTTGGTGGTGGGCAGGCAGCTGGGAAAAGAACAGTCTCCGGAACGCAGGCTGGCAGGAAGAAACTCTTGAATGTGTATGTGGGACCAGCCACTTATGTCACCTCTCTTCCCTCACTAGACGTCCCTGGGTGTGCATCAATGTACCTTCACACAGAGGGCTTCTTTGGGCCCTCCCCAGCTGATGGGGCCATGGGTAAGGCAGCCCCCCTTTCCCTGCCAAGCCCTCCAAACTGGGGGAGGGAAGCCCTGCTGGGGGAGAGGAAGGTCTCCTTGGCCAGGAGTCCCTCTGGACTCTGGTGTCTCCGTCAGTGAGTCACCCAGATCTGAGTGACCCCCAACTTCCTCCACAAGGCTATGGCTATGAGAAACCTCTGCGACCATTCCCAGATGATGTCTGTGTCGTCCCTGAGAAATTTGAAGGTCAGAGAAGTGACTGTTCATGGGAGGGTCAGGGTCTTAACCTTGCGCTCTGAATATGTCCCTCAGGAATCACATTACATTTCATCATTAGAGAGGGAGGGGCATATGGGAAATGACCTGGAGGGGAAGGGGTTCCCAATAGGAACACAGGATTGATACATGGATTCCAGAATGCCCAATACCCACACCTCCTGTTTCCTGTGTTCCCCAGGAGACGTCAAGCAGGAAGGGATTGGCGCATTCCGAGAGGGGCCGCCCTACCAGCGCCGGGGTGCCTTGCAGCTGTGGCAGTTTCTAGTCGCCCTGCTGGATGACCCAACGAATGCCCACTTCATTGCCTGGACTGGCCGGGGGATGGAGTTCAAACTAATTGAGCCTGAGGAGGTGGGACTCTCAGATGGCCCTGCCCCTCCTCGCCAGCAGCTTTGGGGCCTGGAGATGAGAGAACATGGGCAACGGTGGCACATGCCTTCACCATCCATCCTTGCTTTACCAAAAGCCAAACCTGTTGCCGTCAGTTCCAACTCATAGTGACCGTATAGGACAGAGTAGAACTGCCCCATAAGGTTTCCAAGCAGTGCCTGGTGGATTCGAACTGCCGACCTTTTGGTTAGCAGCTGTAGCCCTTAACCACTACACCACTAGGGTTTCCTATCCTTGCTTTACCTAACCTGAATTCTTGCCAAGCCTGGGTCTGTGGGCTGGTGCTTAGTTGTAAGGCTAGCTTAGCATTTTGCACCAAGAATCTCAGGTGCTCTTTCTGACCTGTCCCCCATTTTTCCTGGGTTATTAGCATTGCAGCGCAAAACTCTGTCTCTTCTGTCCGCAGGTCGCCAGGCTCTGGGGCATCCAGAAGAACCGGCCGGCCATGAATTATGACAAGCTGAGCCGCTCACTCCGATATTATTATGAGAAAGGCATCATGCAGAAGGTCAGGGGCCAAGAATCCAGGGCCAAGTGGGTGGGGGAAGGTGATGGTGGAGGGGCTGGGGCTAGGAGAGCATTCCTCAGCAAGTCTGTAGGAGCAGATAATGAACCAGTCAGAGAGGATGAGAAATTGTGGACAATCCCAAGGTTCCCTTCACCCAAAGTGCTAAACAGTAACTGATAGGACCAAAGCCAAGAGGGATTGAGGGGTCAGAGGTGAACAGGAACTGTGGAGAGAGTCAGCTCTTTAAGGGAACCAGCATGGGGGAGAAATGTGCCTGTCTGGAGACTTGTGTCTGCCTGGACTCGGAGAAGGGCTACATTCCCCACCCCTGTACTGAGGGGAGGGGAGAATAGCTAGGCTGAGCCATCCCCTTCTCTCTTTCCGTAGGTGGCCGGCGAGCGTTATGTCTACAAATTTGTGTGTGAGCCCGAGGCCCTCTTCTCTCTGGCCTTCCCGGACAATCAACGTCCATCTCTCAAGGCTGAGTTTGACCGGCCGGTCAGTGAGGAGGACACAGTACCCTTGTCCCACTTGGACGAGAGCCCCGCCCACCTCCCTGAGCTGACTGGCCCTGCTCAGCCCTTTGGCCCCAAGGGTGGCTACTCTTACTAGCCCCAGCAGCCACCCCTCTGCCACCGGTGGGTGCTGCCCTGTGTACATAGAGATGAATTAGGTGTTGGGGGGGGGTGCGGATCCCCACTGTCCCATCGGCTGCCCTGGCCCAGACTCTGAGCTGCTTACCAGAGTCACGTGAGGGAAGTGTGGAGAAAGGCCACGTATAAAGGAGGCAGTCTCAAAAACTCCCCTGGGGGTTTCACCTCTGTCCAGTGAGAGTTCTGCTCAGCCTCTTCTGGGTCGTGCTTAGAGGCCCAAGCCCCACTCCCTTTCCTCCACCACAGAGAACAAGAGCTTTGTCTGTTCTGGGGGACAGACGAGCCTCCCCGGTTTATCCTGGCCAGGGGATGATGCACTGAACTCCCCAGGACCCTTGGACCCTGCAATCCACCCCAAGCTGTGGCCCTGAAGGGTCCCAGTTGTCAGTTCTTGGTGCTGTGTCCCCAGAGGCAGAGGCAGGGGAGGCTGGGGTGGTGGGGGCTGGGTGGAGGCAAGGAGGGTGGGTCCCTGTTCCAAGGGGCCCCCTGCCTCTCCTCTACCTTCTCCTAGGCCCAGGCCTGGAATTCCACCTCCACCACATCTACCAGACCCTAATAAAGGCCCCTGCTTCTCCTGTTAATTCTCCTTGTCTCTTTGCTGCCATGAGAGAGGGACCTGGGGGTTAGAAAGAGCTCTGGCCTTGGGGCAGATGACTAGTGCTTGAGACCAGGCCCTGACACTCCCAGTGACCTTTTCCTCTGACAAATGGGTGCAGCAATACCTGCCCCCACTCCAGATTATTGTGTGAGGATCCAGCAATGACAAAGCGTACTTTGTAATCTGGCCCAGGGCCCCTGGGCCACCTTCAGCGTGGTTCCTGCAGCAGTCTCCCAGTCCTGGCTGAGAGGGGTCCCCCGAGCTGCAAGGCCCACGTGGTAGGGTGTCCATGTGGAGCTTCCTCCGCAGGGTCTTGGCCTGCCCGAAAAATGTACACTCTGTGATCACACTTGCTCCGCTGACCATGTGCGCGCATGTGCCCCAACAGTGTGTGTCAGCCACCACTCCCACTCCAGGTTGCTGTCTTCCCTGGAGTTGGGGACAAGTGTTAGTGTGGAGAGGAATGCCCTTAGTGGATCTGAGGAGAATGGGCTAAAGGAGAAAGGTACCCTGCCAAGAGGGTGTGGGAAGAGATCAGCATAGGCCCCGGCTTCTGGCCAGTGAAAGAAGGGTCTAGATCTTCAGGGAAGGAAGAGTGGGAAACAGCATGGATTCTCCTTGCCCAAATTTGGGAGCGAGCAAGCCCTGGGAGTGGGGAACAGCAGGGCTGAAGGTGGTGCACCTGGACAGGGCGTCTGACAGTAGGTAGGAGACGGACAGCCGAGGCTGGAGGGGCAGTTCTACCCCCAGCAGCTTCCCGGGAGGGAGGTGGGCTCAGGTGAAAACGGGTGCTGTCCAGTTAAATCAGAACTGAGGCAGGCTGAGGCGGTCCGATCCTTGGAATGCCCAAACTGTTCGGGAGGCAGCTCTCATGGGAAGGGATGTCTCTCAAGGGCTACTAAAACACAAAACATCAACTTACAATTTAGAACAAGGAACGTAAGATCAATTTTAAAATACAAGTTTTTAAAAATAAATATATTTCCACATTAAAACCAGACTATCGTGGTGGGGGGAGGTGGAAACCGAGGTCATGAGTACATGCACGTAAGAATCGGGATTTCGATGAGAAGCAGCATCAAGGGGAACGTGTCCACAGGCTCTGAGACCTGCACAGAACCCTGCCCTTGTTCATGAACAAGCCCCTCACAGCTCTGTTCAAATCCTCACGCTCTCCAAACGAGACAGCTACAGCAGCCCACCAGGAAACTCTTGGGGCTGCACAAGGGGGCACCAAAACAAAATCATGCTCCAGGCTGGCTGAAGTCAAATCGCGGACCAAGGAGCCTGACCCTGCAGTAGAGCTTAGGCCCCACGGGGACCGTCCCCCACACACATATACAAACAGGCACAGACTCAGCACTCGGGCAGGGGCAGGAAACTCCTGAGCTCAGGCTCCTGCTGGGTCGGGTTTAATGGCCAAGATGCCAGCTCCCGACAGGAGGCTGGCCCGGAGTCCCCTCCTCCCCCGGTACACTCCGCTCTGCTTTGACACGGCTGTTTCTGATGGACAGTCTAAAGGTCAGACCCCACGTTGTCAACAGCAGAGAAGTGACCTCAGCTCTTGGAGAGACATGTTCAAGGAACACCCACAGAGCTGGGGTCTTTTCTACTCACCTAACCCAGAAAGATGACCAGTCCTGCTGCCTCTTACCCTTGGCCTGTGAACATCCCTTCTCAGCTTCATCCTAAACCCCAAAACCCCCTTCGTGGGGTAGTGATCCCTGAGGAGCCCACGCTGTCAGTGCTGGTCACTCAGGCTGCCCCACCTAGTTTGTTGCTGAACTGGGGAGACCTGGGCTGAAATTAAGATTGAGGAGCTGGTGTCTAGCCCCTGCTGCTTTCCCTTCGGTTTCATCTTCCAGTCCCTGCAATCTCTACCCGTAACACCTGGATTGTTGACAGGGGCTTACAAGGAGCACACTCAGTCAGGCACCCACTCAGCTTAACAAAGGGCAGGGATCTGCAGTCAGCAGCCTCCCTGGCCTACATTCCTCTCTGTTGGCTTCTTGGATTGTGTTTTTAGGGTGGTTTATTTGCTGTCCAGTGACAGCCTACATTCCTTTATCTCCGAGAACACTGTATAGTCTCTTTTTGCGTCTTTATGTCATTTCAGAATTTAGCCATATGGAAGAGGGAGGCGGTGTGGGCAATACCTTAACAAGATGTGGTCGATCCCCAGGGGCTTCTCTACAAGCCCCACCCATGCACCAGCTCTCTGGACGCTCCACAACCGGGCCTGCCTGCCCATCTAATGCTCCTCGAGGTAGAGGGCACAAAGAGGTGGCCACTCCCCAGCCACTCCGGGAGAGTTAAGGAAAAAAATACTAAGGACAAGACCGGAGCCCAGATGCCAGGCAGCGCAAACCAGCTCGGAGAGGTGTTATGCTGGTTTTACGTTTGGGGCGGGGTAGGGGAGGCTTTGACCATAAAAACCCTCTGTTAAAGTCCACTGAGGACCTCAGGGGGAAAAAATAAAATAAAAGCTGTGCTGTCACTTAGCATGTTTCAGAACGAAACTCATTGTTAGTAGGGGGAGGGGGAGGGGAAGAGGGAGAAGGAAGGAGAGGAAGCCTTCTGCATCCTATATGCAACATCTGTAAGCACTCAGGCCCCAGAAGTGTTCTGTGGAGTGGATGTGGTTAATCACGGGGCAATCGCCGGCCCAGCCAGGCGAGCACCAGTGCTGAAAGATAAGAATGGAGGTCTGGGCTGTGTGTCACGTCTGAGCCCAAAGAGGCCACGGGCTCTGTTTTCAGGGGACTCTCCACCACGTGCACCAGAGCCACAGACAGTAAATCTCCCTCACCCTGAGCTCAAGCCAATATCCCAACCTTTCAACTCAAAAAAACAGCCACAGAAAGCCATTTTTGTTTCCTTAAGAAAATAAATAAATAGTTCCAGAAGGTTAAGCCAAAGTACAGGGGGGCTGGCAACTGGGCAGGAAGTGGGAGCCGACACTTTAGATGAGCTTCGTGGCTCCCGCCTCCAGAAAGCAGTAGCTGGGCCATGGAGGCCCTCACTGAGGCCCTCAATGAGTCGTCCACATGTAAGACGCTTGCTGACTCCCCTTTCCCATCCGAGGGCTGTAGAAGTTGCTCCTTTCTTGGAGATGAGGCAATGATCCCCATGTTGGCTGTGAACACCCAACTGGCCCCCGTGACTTGGCATGGTGGGGACTGGAGGCTCTGGCCAAGGGCAGGCTTATATCCCTGTTTCTATTTCATCACCGGGGAAGAAATGAGAGTCAAGTATAGAAAGTGTCCATTATGATATTCAGTCACAGGACAGCTGTATTCTCAGGATCAGCTTTTTATCAGTAAGTCCAAGCCTGGGCCACTGCTGCAGGAACAGCAAACAGACAAGTCTTGCCTTTCAGCGCCGCCGGAAGGCCCGGGATATTCTCCAGGCATTGGGCTCCTCATAGCGGTTGTACAAGGGCTCAAGACGCTGCTGCTTCTTCTGCTTGCTTAGCTTGGTTGGGTCAGAGACCTTGAAGAAGGCTGGGGCAAACTCCACAAGCCACCGGGGATCGATGGTGGTGACCTCACGCATGTACTCCTTCGTGGTCAGCACCAGCTCGTGGTACACCACCCTGAGGAGAGACAAGCTGGAGCTCAAGCCTCTGAAACAGGCCCTACTCCCCTCCCACAGCCAGCCTGTTCCCCCGTGGGCCTCAGCTGTGCTTGCATTTCACCCTTTTACCTATCCTGCCTGACCCCTCAGGAGACTGCAGGCTCTGTTTATGACAATCAGACCTTGTACTGAGGAGTCCACATCCCTCTGGCTGTAAGAAAGCTGTCAGGATGTGTTCTAATCTTGGTTCTGACTCTAACTAGTTAAGTGACACAGAGTCAATCATGTCCCTTCTCTGGACCTCAGTCTCCTCCTCTGTAAAATGGGAGGGTAGTTTTTCAGATCATCTCCACAGAGCCTAGGGCCCTGAAGAGGGGCTGAAGAGGCTGCCACAAAGGGATGGAGAAGGCCAAGCAGGTAAGGCTCTATATCTCTAACCCTTTTCCTACCACGATAGCATGGTGGTTTTAGTCTTCTATATAACATTCCAATTTTTTAAAATAATACTTAAAAAAAAAGTTTGAAACCACTTTATAGGATCTCTAAGATCCTTCTAGCTCTAGCCCCTATGACCTTATTTCTTTCAACAGGGATTAATATTGTGCCTAATTCAGCAATGCTCTAGAAATATAAGCAATGTTACAAGTGCTGGGGGTGGGTGAAGACACAAACACAAAGCACCAGCAGATTTAGAAATAAGGTGCTTGTCTAGAAGGCCCTAGGGTCTCAGGAGATGAGCTGGGAACAACTGAGGAAACAGGGACTTCTTAGAGAAAGCAGGCCCCATAGCCTGGGTCATCATCTGCCCAGAACAGGCCTAGATTTGGGCCTGCCCACCTACCATTCCGGCTGTCTGTTGAAGAGTGCACTGGAAGGATGGATGTAGACCACCTGCTGGTCAATCAGTGTCCGATAACCTTCCTGTGGGTCTTTCTTGGCAGCATTCCGGAAGAATCCACTGCAGATGGCCTTTTGCACTCGGACTGTGGACTTGCCACAGGAGACTACATCCAGCTTGTGTCTATCAGGAGAACAAATCAAGAGAAGACAAAGTCGTAAGACTAGTCTGCTTTCAGAGCTTCTATTTTCTGGAATAAGGGGGCTCAATACCCCCACACTAAGGTCCCCGGAGTAGTCACCAGCACCTCCTTTCCAGCCATAAGTATACTATAGGGGCAGCCCTACACTGTGGGCAGGACAGAGGCAGTAAGAGCCAGAAACTCGGCTTAGGGAAGAGCTGAACTTCAGAATAATAATGTTCCAGAAGCTTGTAAACAAAGAGCATTTCTCAACAAGTAACAAATCATCTTCCTCTTAGAAACTTTCTAAAGTGATTCTCAGCCTCATGCTGGCCTGGGGAAGAGGGAGCATAACAAAGTTGGAGGAGCTGGAGGGAAGGGGTTACATGAGGAGCAGGAGCACAGGTGCCTGCAGCCATATGGGTGGGGCAGAGAGAGATGAACGCATGACACCCAAGGTTCAGCCCCACGCAGGAAGGGTCACCAGAGGGCCACCCGCTCACCTGTCCATTATGCCTAACATCTGTTTGCGAATATCCTGGGCCCGGCGCAGGGAACGAGCCTGGATAAAGTTCTCATAGCACCATGGGTTGGAGAACTTATTGTTCTTCCAGGAGTTGTACACAGCCAGCAAGGTGAGGTGGTCCCCTTCGGTCTGGTGGAATTTGGCCTTCTTCTGATCTGCGAGGGCTTGTTTATCCTGCCAAACAGTAGAACAGAGGATCATTTTCCACCCAAGAGTTATTAACTGAACATCCAGCAGTTCCAAGAAGCCTGCGAGGCCGTCCTAAGTGTCCACGTCAGGCACTGCAATGGCATTAGGCTGACTTCACTCAACTTCACTGCACCCGGTCTGAACATGGGTCTCAGCTCCCTACCTTCGGCCTGTAGAAGACATTCTGCACAGACAACATGGACACGATGGTCAGCATTTCCTCACTGCATCCCAGATGCACAGACATGATCAGCATTTTGCACAGCATTGGCTCCAGAGGGAACTCTGCCATCTAGAGGGAGAAGAAGAAATTACGACTGCTTCTGTGTAGAAGGCACATCTGGATTTGCCAATGTGGGACACTGGTCAGGGTGGGTAAGGGACTGTAACAGATTTCCCCCAAGCATGCCTTTCATGATGATGTGAGATGCCTGTCTCTATAAGAAGAATTCTGGGTTTTATTTTTCTTTCCCAAATAAACTCCAATGGAATGCATGTGACCAAGATCTTAACTACTGTTAAGGCAGGTGGGAATTTTGCAGATAAACTTTTAAAATTAAAGCTAAGACAAAACAGTGCATATTATATGATTCCATGTACATAAAGCTCTAAGAACTACACATTCAATATATAATGACAGAAAGGAGATCAGTGGTTGGGAAGGGGCACAAAAGATGCTTTGGTGTGATATAAATTTCTTTATCTTGATTGCGGTGGTGGTTACACAGTTGTTTGTATTTGCCAAAACTCAAAGAATTGTTCACCAAATGGATACATTTACTGTATATCAATTTTATTGCAATAAAGCTAAAAAACTGCTTAAAAAAAAAAAAAATTAAGGCTAGACTCAATAAAATATCCTGAGGCAAAACTGTGGATAGAATTCCTTTTTCTGCAAAACCAAAATCAAAACCAAAACCAAACCCTTTGCCGTTGAGTCTATTCTGACTCATAGCGACCCAAAAGGACAGAGTAGAACTGCGCCACAAGGTTCTCAAGGAGCAGCTGGTGGATTTGAACTGCTGACCTTTTGGTTAGCAGTCTAAAGCGATGATGGGAAATTCAGGTTAAGAACAGGTACCCAGAAATCTATTCAGACATTACCCAGAGCCTCAGAGCTTGATTTTGCACAGACCAAATAATATGGAAGGCTGGCCAAGGAATCTTCCCAAAAGCACTACAAGTTAAGTCCGTCCCTACCCTGCGGCCCAGGCGAGTGAGCAGACCCTCATCGTCCAGAGCCCCCAGTGTGTACAACTGCTCCATGGCTGTGATCAAGGTTTCCATTGGTGGGGCATCCATGAAGTCAAAGGACAGCAGGTCATTGATGCCCATGGCCTAGAACAGAGGAAAGAAAGCATATGATGGTCAGCCTGCCGGCCATTGTTAACATGGAGGAAGGCTACTTGGTACTTTTTCCTTTTTTTTCCTGCAATTAGGACGTCACTGGGAGATTAGCAGGCCAGGGCCACACAAAACTCAGACTATTGGAAAGCAGGTACTTTCTTAGGACTTCAAAAAACACTCTTGTCAAAATGACAGCGCACTGGCTCGTCCTACCTCTCGCATATCTCATTTCTACTGTGCCTCTACGAGATGCCTTACACCATGGTAGGTGGTAGGGATACAAAGATGATTAAGATACGGCCCATGTGCTCAAAGAGTTCACAGTGGGTGAGAACCACGTCACGAAACCACGACAACACAGTGCAATCTACGTGCCTGGCACGCAGCAGGCATTCAAAACATGTACTAGCTAATTTGATGAATAAAAAAAGGAATGAGGAACTATCAAGTGTGTATAAAGCGTGATGCGGTAGGACCAATGCTTTCTATTTCTTTCCCATAAAATGATCATGACCATAAACACAGCAGGTGTTCAATAAATGCTTACTGTATGAGTAACAACTACAAGGAATTATGTTAGCAATCATTAAGCACTGTGCTAAATGCCTTTATCTACACGATCTCATTTATCTTCACAACAGACACTATTAGCAGCTCCCTTTTCACGATGAGAACCCAGAGCTGAGGCCAGGGAGGACAGATAAACCGGCCCAAGGCCACAGCTCAGAGCAGGAGTGTGAGCCAGGGGATGCCTCCCTGGTTGCCCTCTAGGGGCTGCAGCAGGTTTTTTCCTGAAGCTCTGTTTTAGCCTCTCTTACAGCGAATGAATAGTAAGTTACACCAGAGCATTCTGCACCAGTAAAGTGCCAGGGCTCCAGGGCAACATCAGTGTCATGGGGAAAATACCACCATCGGGGAAATTACTCACGCAGCTACCCTGCCAAAAGAGAATGAAGGTGCTCCCTGGGGACTGAGAGAGGAAGAACAATGATGCAGAATGAAAACCAAGCCCTCAGAGGGCCACGCTAAATCTGGACTGTTGCAAAGTTTTTGGATAGGGAGACTGTTTTCCTGTTCTACATGAACAAAACTGACCTGAAAGTAAAAGTGGTTAAGGAAAGTGTTTGTCCACAGTTGAGCCTGATGTTACTTTTCTAATTTCCTTTTAGAATGTGTACTGCCAACTAAAATCTTTTACAACCAAATATCCTGCTAGTTATTATCATAAGAAAGAATGCGTGTTCACAGCAGACAGGCCAACTTAGCCCCAGACCTGCCAGTGGTGAGGCTGTTAGCACAGCCATTTGCATTTCACTCAAAGGAACTGGTTTCATGAGGTTACTAAAGTATTTAACAAGGTCCATAAAACTGAGATTCATCTACTAAGGATTGGACTGTTTCACCAATCCGTGTAATGAGACAGTGACTTCTACCTTGAGAGAGAGCACTGTGCTTGCTAAGTTGGTTCTCTGGATCTCCGGCACATTGGTGGTCAGCATTTCGTCTCGGTAGGCCCGTTCCGTGTACAGCCTGTAGCACTTCCCTGGGCCTGTTCTCCCAGCTCTGCCAGCTCGTTGCTTTGCCTGAGCCTAAGGGGTGGGCATATAAAAGTAACCTATTTGTTAAACACTGCTTAAGGGCTTTACCCAGGAAACCTGCTAACGGGGGCACTTAGCTACTGGTAAAATTGGAAATGGGTTTGGTTTAGTTCACTTCCTTTAGGACCATTTCCAAGACTACCAATAGTCTTATCTCCTCCCCAACACTCAGCACTTTAGGAAAGTTTGTTCAAGTGAGGCAAGTACAACCAGGATGAAAGGAAAAAATATTGTAAAGACACACAGAAATAGACCTTCAAAATCGTGTAGCAAAATCTAAACGAGAAAGCGTAAAACAAGATGACAAAACACTATCGCCATGGTTGTGACCAAAAATGTAAGTGAACTAAATAAATTACATTAACCACACAAAGGATGACGCTGCCGCCATTGTGAAAATCAAGCTTGAGGCTGGTTGATATCAGGAGGACATGCTCACTCATACTAAGTGAAAAAGCAAGTTATAAAACAATATAACACTAGTTTTATAAAAAATCTCTAAGTGCATACATGAAATACCAGAAGGAAATGACTTGGAAAAAAATACCCTAAAATGTTAACAGAGGTTGACTGATGGCAGGCTTGCAGATGAGTTTTATTTCATGTCTACTTTACCAAATATTCCATTCTGAACATGTAATATTTTAATAATCAGGAAAATTAAAAACGTAAACAAAAACTATACAAAACTGCATAATTAGTAGAATACTAGGAACTGTAACCATGAAAAAAACAAAAATGGAAAAAAGATTGAAAAGAAAAACTTTAGAATAACAGAACTGGTACTAGGATTGTGAGCAATTTAATTTTTTTCCCCTATTTTGTAAAAATAATGCAGTATTACTTCTGTAGATGGGGGCAGAATGAAAAACAAAAAGGGAAAGAAAAAAAAACATAGTTTAGCCATATGTTGCTAGAAGCAGTGAAACACAATCTCTTAGGAGGGTCATTTTCTGATACAACAGTCTGTCTTACAAAGAGTGTCAGGATTTACAAACTGCCACACAAGCTCCAAACCAATGGAGGGAGTATAAAAGGACAATCAACCACACACCCCAGGCAGCAATACAGAACCCAAAACGTTTCAGAAAGGCTCTAACCAGGAGTTTTCTCTCCAAATCAGGGAAGGCATGTGTCCCTAGATTCTTGATCACTGTGAGTGTCATGCACTGCCCTGAGAAGTGGGAGACAGCACACCCGCTGGAGACAGTACACCAGCTGTGTGACTCTATGCAAGCCACTTAACCCCTCTGTACTTCAGTCTCCTCATCTGTGAAATGAGGCTAATAATGACACCTACCACATAAGTGGCAGAATGTAATGAGTTAATGTATGTAAAAGCACCTAAGACAGTGTCTGGCACTCAGCAAATAAGCACCATGTGTTAGTTATTATTATTACTTGAATTTCTAAATGAAAATAACCTTATTATTTTTTCAGATTATGACAGTAATCCATGGCTGTTATAATAGGTTAAGACAATACATATTAAGTGTAAAGAAAAACTGCACATCACCCATCACCATAATAACCAGCACCACCACCCAGAAATAACCTTAGCTGCCATTTGGACTCTATCCTTTCAGTCTTGCGCATGCACCGCTCACACACTCTGAGCAGAAGTGCACAATCTATTTTTAAACAAAAATTGGATTACATCATTCGTGCTATTTTATAGCTTATTTTTTTCAAACAATGTATCCCAGTTATACGCTTCTATCATTAAATATAGATACACACCACTATGTTAATGGCCACGTAGCATTCCATGGCACGGTGTGGTATACCATGTTTTATTAAACTACTTCCCTTTTGGAGCTCATTCAGACTTTTTGTTAGTTTTTTTCCTAATATAAACAACGCTGCCACAAACATCCTTTTTCCACTACCTTTGGATTTGTGTTCTATCGTTTCTAAATCTCAGATATGTTCCTAGAAATAGAACTGTTAGGTTAAAGAGTATGAACTTTTAAACTTTTGATATATTATTGCCAAACTGTCCTCGAAAAGGATGATGAGATAATTCCTTTTTTAAATACAATTTAGGCAGGAAACTAGGCCATAATTACCTAAGAAACACACATAACCACCTCATGTATTATTATTATCTCAGATATCTGTGGCTAAGTACTTTAAAAAATATGCCCACCTAAACTGGATAATCCAGGGTGCCAGGGATTCAAACTTTAAGTTCAAGCTTTTTGGGGCTTCTAAATGTTGAAACACTACTAAAGGCAACCTCTGAACAATTAGTGTAGTAACTGTTCAACGGGAACCTAATCTACTACATAAACTTCCACCAAAAACACAATAAAATACCCACTGCTGTCCAGTCAATTCTGACTCATAGCAACCCTACAGGACACATTCAAAACGCTCCACAGGGTTTCCAAGGAGCAGCTGGTGGATTCGGAATGCCAATCTTTTGGTTAGCAGCAGAGTTCTTAACCACTGCACCACCAGGGCTCCAAAAATAAAATATTATTAAAAAAAGAAAAGGAGATCAAATATGCTATATATATTACGATTAATACATCACATTAGTACTGTAAAAAATAAAGGAACCAACACAAAACCTTCCCTTATTCCACTAAATCGCCCAGTATCTTAAAAATTCATCTTTCAAAACCATACAGTTCAAAATACAGAACCCAAAAAAAATTTCAGAAGGGCTCTAGCCAGATATAGACATATCCATACCTGAGAAATAGGTGTCACCACAAGCTGGTCAATCCCTGTCTTGGAATTGTACACTTTCTGCTTCACGAATCCAGGGTCCACCACATAGTAGATGCCATCGATAGTGAGCGATGTCTCTGCAATGTTGGTAGCAATCACGACCTACAAGCAAAAAGGGGCACAGCTGGACTGAGCTGCCCGGCTCAGCCCCCAGGTGTGAAACAGGACTTTTTAACTCAGACACCTTCCCAAACGAGTATGCAGCTATCTCCCTCTCTAGACATCTAAGATGACACTTAAATGCCATCTCTGCCTCAAACGGGCAGAAGGGGACATCCCTTCATCCTAAGGGTTAGGCTGGGGAGGGGACGGTACCTGAGAGGAGACGTAGAATAGAAAAAAGCTAAGGCCAATCAAAGTCAATTTCATTTGGTGCAAATGACTATGTATCTCATTTTCTAGAGCCAATGTTGATTACTACAATTTTAATTTTCCAGCACCCTGGGAAAGCAAAGGTTTCCTGGCATCACATGTGCCAACGCAAAATGAGATTTCCTTTCCACACTGGGACATCTGGACTACAAAATAGGTTGATCATGTATGCGGAACAAGAGAGAGCTTTTTTTTTTCTTTCCTGATCATAAAATGAACCACAAGGCAGCAAAGGAATTTCACGGTTGGCATGTGTGCGGCAGTATATGTGATCTAGAAGATTATTAGTCTCAGCTTGGCACTGCCACTGTTCTTCCACCCAGAGGTTCAGCTAATAAAACACAATTGCTTGGAAAAATCATTGCTAGGAGGTATCAGAACATCTCATGTCATGCCAGAATCTTACCAGCTCTGAAAGGCTGAGACCTGCTACAAAGCTACAGAAACCTTGCTTGGAAACCATCAGGAATAGAACAGAGGAGGAATTCACCATCTTTTCCCCCAAGTCTGCTCTGCTTCTCATGTTTTCCTCCTCAGCACCGTCTTCCACCCAGCTGTCCAAACCAGAAATCTGGGAGTCATTCTTGACTTTTCCCTTCCTTCTTCCCCTCCACCTCCAGGCACCCACCATGTCCTGTTCATTCTAACTCTTTAATGTTATTCAGTCATCTGTTTTCCACTCCTAGGTATAGACCCAAGAGAAATGAAAACATGTCCACACAAAAACTTGTACAAGAATGTTCACAGCGGCATTATTCACAATAGCCAGAAAGTGGAAACAACCCAAACATCTATTAACTGATGAACAGATAAACAAAATGTGGAATATCCATACAAAGGAAATTATTTGGCAATAAAAAGAAATGAAGAACTGATACTACATTCATGTTACAACATGAATGAAACTTGAAAATATAATCGGTGAAAGAATCCAGTCATCAAGGACCATATAATACATGATTCTACTTATACAAAACGTCCAGAATAGGCAAATCCATAGAAAGAAAATAAATTTGTGGTTTCCAGGGACTGAGCAGAGGGGGAATGGGTGTAACTGCTAAACAGGTACAGGGTTTCTTTTAGAGGTGATGAAAATATTCTAAAATTGACTGTGGTGATGGTTGCATGATTTTGAGAATATACTAAAAACCACTAAATTGTACACTTAAAAGAGTGAATTTTATCTTAAAAGGGTGAATACGTATTATATGTGAACTATACCCCAATAAAAAAATCCATCCGTCTCCTATCCTGTTGTTTTATATACCTACTCATACACTCCATTCTAGCCACTGGAACTACATGGCTCCCTAAACTGGCCTTGCGTGCTCTCTTGCCTCAGGCCATCACAGACTGCTCGGTCTCCTCTGAATGCACATCCTCCTGCCCTCCTTGCCTAGATGAATTCTCAGAAGTTCTTCAGGACTAACTTAGATTCTTATTTCCTCTAAGAAGACTGGGTGTGGTGCTCCCCCGCTGGGTATCTACGGGACCAGGAGCCCTTTCACAATACCGTTAAAGGTCTGTCTACTGTGTGTGCCCCATAGCAGACTGAGGCCTGTCCTCATACTGCAGCCCTGGTGCCTAGCCCAAAACACGGCAGACGCTCAAAAAATATTGGTTGAATGAAGGAAAAGAGAGGGAGAGCAGGGTCCACACCTAAGATCCCTATTCCTCAAAACACTTAGAATAATCTCCAAAACATAACAAACAAGACTTGCATATCCCTTAAGCAATCCCCACATGGCCAGCGGCATACCCCACCTGCTTTCAGAGCATGAGGGAGCTTCACTTCTGCCCAGAGTTACCTTTCTGCTGCCAGGTGGAGCAGGGTCAAAGATTCGGGTCTGCATCTCACTCGGAAGGGCGGAGTACACCGGGAGGATAATTAACTCTGGAACATCGGGTCCCAGGGATTTCATTCGCTCATACAGGATCTCACAAGCTGTGTCAATCTCCTCCTGACCTGTCAGGAAGACCAGGATATCACCTACAGACAGAAGAGAGGCATTAATTTATCTTCTAATTGTATGTGCGTGATGTGCACGCGTGTGCTTTACACAAAGGCTACAGTGACATTAACAGAACTCCAAATACTAGAAAATACATACATTCCTACCATTATTAAACCAAGGGGTTTTTAACTGTCCATGTTTAAACAAACGTGTTTAAACCCTGCAGCATTCTTTTATTTTTTATTGTTGTGAAAATATTATCAAGATTTTTATTACCACCATTTCAAACACGCAAGCTAAGAAAGAACATCACCTAAAAGGCATTTTTAAAAAAGAGCGGTAATAAAGATAGTCACACTAGCACTTTCGGCCCTAGAGAAACGAATGCTCTTTCCTCTCACCTGGTGGCTCTGTTAAGTGGATCTGCATGACAGTGATCAAGCTGGCATCCAGATAATCTGTCTCAGGTTCCTTTGTGTACAGTATTTCTACTGGATAAGTTCGACCTGGGATGGTGAAAATGGGAGCTTCATAAAAGTACTGAGAAAACTTCACTGCATCCAAGGTGGCTGAGGTGACAATCAGCTTCATGTCCTGCCGTTTCTGAACCGTCTGTATGGAAACATGAATGGTTTACTAAAAACGTCTACCAAAAGAGGCACAAGTTCTCAAACCCAACTCCCGGAATTCCATCTTCAACAGGGACAGGGTTGCTAAAGAGCATCTAGTTACCTTTTTCAACAATCCAAAGAGCACGTCAGTGTGAATGGTCCTCTCGTGCGCCTCATCCAACATGATGATCGCATACTGAGTGAGGTCAGGGTCGATCAGGCACTCTCTGAGCAACATCCCATCCGTCATGTACTTGATTACTGTTTCAGGGCTGGTGCAGTCCTCAAATCGGATAGTGTAGCCCACCTACAGCAAAGCAGGAGAAAATCTCAGACACCAACCTCTCCTTTCTGCAATCATCAGGGCTCTCCAGACAAGATTTTTGCCCAGTCAGACTACCACCCATAATCCTAATAGATAAGAATTTGACCAAGATGTGCAGCGATTTCCTCATAGTAAAGTCTGGCATGAACTTGCCCTTGAACAGACCAATGACGACAATGACATCACCATTTTGCTACTCATCAAGAACCCTTTCTCCCTCAGGAGAAACCTGATAAAAAGGCAGCGTTAGTCCCATTGTATAAATAAAGAGATGTGGACTTCGACAATTTTCTCCTGGCATTTCTATAGCAGCTTCACTACCTACTTACCTCTTGGCCTAAGCAACAACCAAACTCCTCCGACACTCTTTTGGCCACCGACATGGCTGCCACTCTTCTGGGCTGGGTACATCCTATCTTGCCCCTGGACGTGTAGCCCGCCTCCGCCAGGTACTGGGTGATCTGTGTTGTCTTGCCAGATCCTGTCTCTCCAATAACAATCAGGATCTGATTATCATGGACAGCCTGAAAACCACGGAATATAAATATGGTCGTTAAAATCTGTGACACGTTACTCTGGAGTTTCCTTTCAACAACTAGGGTTTAAGTTATTTTTAAGGATGCACAGAAAAGAACCTTGGGGAAAAAAATGTTAATAGTGTTAACAGTGATTTTCTAAGAGCAATGGGACTTTAAATAATTTTCCTGCTCAATTTTCTTTAATTGCACGTATAACTTAAACTAAAAACTTTATGGGTATTCTTCTTTTTTAACTGACTCAAATTTATTTTTTAAAGAACATTTATTGGTTTTCTTAAATTCATAAAAACATAGATGATGCTAATAGCACAAGGCACCACCCAGATATACCTGACAATATATTTTTTTAAGTTATTACATGATTAAAAAATTCAATAGTAAAATAAAAAGTGTTCCTTCCCACCACCACTCCCAAATCTCCAGTACCTCTCCCCAAAAGATCCGCTTATTTTTTATTTCCAGTTTTATGTCAGTGGTACTTATAACAGCAAAAGACTGAAATCAACCAATATGTCTATTAATATGGAACTAGTGAAAAAAACCAGAGCACACCCACACAGAAGCACTAAAAAGGCATTAACAAAAATCAGGATGTGGAGCAATCTCTGTGATATCATTAAGTGGAAAAAGATGCACAGCAATGTATACAATATGCTACAATTTGTAACCATACAGAGTATACACAAACCAAAAAATAGACATGCCCACGGGTGTGTGTACACATACATATTCACACTCGCTTGTATTTGTGTAAGATATCATTTAAAAGAGTCACTGGAAACTAGTAAACTTGGTTGCCTTGGGAAGGTTTAGTGATCTTAAAATCAGATCTCTCCATATGAAAAAAAATATTTGAAGCAAAGTCCTTGCCTATATGGATTCGTTGGCTGAGTGTCCCCATTCTCAGTGACCAGAGCTGTTGGTCCATCTAACACAATATTCTATCTACCTGGACCTGCTCCAGGGTCCACTGGTTCACAGACTTACTTCCTCATGGGAAAAAAAAAAAATTGTAGACTAATACACTCCTTTTATTTTTTTTTAATCTAGAAACTGTTTTTTTCCTATCCCTTTTGGAAAGCCACTTCAAATGTGCACACACCTATCCAGCTAACTGCAATTAAAAAATTTCACCGTCTCTTTTAAAGCCCCCTCCCACCAATCAACACACTTATAAAAGGGCTTCTCACCTGGACCAGCTGCTCCTTAAGTTTGTAGATGGGCAGGCTCTCCCTCTGCTCAATGATTGACATCTGGGTCTTTTTCCCATAAGATGCTTTGTTGCCCCCAAAGGCATGTTTCTTCCACTCGGGAATGTCATTGGGCATCATCCCAATACCCCTCATGTTGGCAGCAATCTGCCTGCCTTCCGCTGGAAAGGAAAACAGGCAACTTAGCATTTTCCTCAAACTACCTCAGAAACCACAAGGAGAAAAAACAAAATGGCAGGTGGGCACCACACGTGTTATTTCAGTTCACTCTGAGCCTTGACCATAGGAGGGTACTCAGAGGAACAAATTAATATGAAGAAAAGAATATGGAAGTGGGAGTAAGGGGAGGAAGAGGGAGAGAGACCATAACAAGTGGTGCTCCATATGTATGATGTTTCCTGATTTAAAAAAAATGAAGGTCAGTTGAGGGAAGTGAAGGCCTGATCATTTGACATTGTGTAAACCCTGGCATTTTTTTTTTTTTAAACTGAGATAAAATCCCCATAACATAAAATTCACTGTTTCAACCATTTCAAAGTGTACAGTTCAGTGGGCTTCAGTATATTTACAAAGTTGTACAACCATCGTTATCTAATTTTAGTATACTTTTATCGCCCCACAAAGAAACCCCATACCCATTAGCATACCTCATACCCATTTCCCTCTCTGTCCAGCCCCTGGCAACCACTAACCTACTTTCTGTCTCTATGGATTTGCCTACTCCAGACATTCCATATAAATGGAATCAACCAATACATGATCTTTTGTGTCTGCCTTCTTCATCTAGCATAATGTTTTCAAGGTTAACCCTGGGATTCGTGGCTGTGAGTGAGGAGCAAAAGAACGAGCAGAATTTTAGCAGCTCTCTAAGGTATACAAAAATTTTACAAGTTTGATGGCAAAAAACAGCTATGAAAAAATACTTAAATCTACTAACCAAACAAGTGAGCCGTTCTGATGGATATCCTGAATAATCCTTTGGAAATGAAACTGATTATGTCACTCCTCTGCTTAGAACTTTTCAACATTTTCCAATGCACTTAGAATTGAGCCCCAAACTCCTAATGCCATCTGCAAAGCCCTGGCCTGCCACTGTAGCCTCATCCCCCACCATTCTGCCCTTTGCTCTCTGTACTCCAGCCACACAGGCCTTCCTTCAGTTCCTTGAATGCATTAGGCTCTTTCCCACCTCGTGGCCCAGCACAGGCTATGCCCTGGCCTGGAACATTCTCCCTAACCCGTCCCATCCCTCTCCTCCTTTGACAGACGAAGTCCTATTTATTCTTCAAGTTTCAACATAAATATTTCAAGTAACCCACTATCCGCAACAACACTACCTATATTCCTTCATACAGCACTGATCATAATTTGACTATTATTTGATTAACAGTCATCTCCCCCAATAAACTGTCGGCCTCAAAAAGCAGCAGTCATGTCTATTTAATTTACAGCTGTATCCCCAGTTGCCTACCACAAATTAATAAATATTTGTAAAACGAATGACTGAATCCAGTAGATAGTTAATATTTACTGACCAGTCAAAGAATTATATGAAAGAGGAAGTTCCAAAGCTGTATTATCTTTAGAATAAAAATTTTTAAATTATTCAGGAGAAAAATTTGGCCAGTCTAATGATGATCTGACTAGGGTTCCAAAACATTTTTGGTTTTAACCATGTTTTAAAAAAAAACAAAAAAATGCTTTAACTGAAGAAGAAAATGAAAATACCAAAGCCAAGGCTAAACTCTCAGTGTGAGCTGACAGAGCCCCCTTCCCTGTGAACGTGAAGGCTCAGGTATTTTTTAAAGTCCACATCCCCCTCCCAGGTCCTACCATCAGGCAGAGGATCAACCCAGTGTTTGTTGAGTCCCATGGGAATAGAATCCATCTCAGCTTCCCGTTGCGCCTGCTTGAGTTCCCGCCTTTCTTTAGCCAAGGCACTCTGCATCATGGCTGCCTGGGAGAGGGAGCCATCTGGGTTCTAGGTCCAACAGAGGAAAAAGCAACATCAGAATGGGATCTTAGCATGCAAGTCTGCTTGACATTTCCAGTTTTAGTCCCAGCATTTCTCACCTTAACGATTTTAATGGGGCTCATGTCCATGCTTTGCTTGGTGTGTCCTCTCAGGAATGGAGGCTCTTCCTCAACCAGTTCGATCTCAAGGTCTTCATCTAAAAGTCCCCCCAAAAAAAGAATTAGCAAAAACAAAAGAAAAAAATGACCGATTATTTTCACCTAAACAATTAATGTCTATGGGCACCAGCATGACCACCCAAGGTCAGAAGGACAGCAATGCAAGCAAAACTCTTAACACAGATAACTGTCCTCGCCCGTTTCTAGGGCATTTGTGTTCCAGCCCAAGAACTGATCAGAGCTACTTTCAAAAGAATGTAAACCTGTGGAAAATGCTGTTCTGACATTCTAAATGGTACCAAAGCATTTGCCATGCAACTTCATTATGGAATAATCCTTAACTCACCACAGACTGGCCCAAAAAAAAATTAAGTTGGACAATATCAAGTGTGAGCAAAGATGCAGAGCAACAGGAACTCTCTTACACTTCTGGTAGGTGCATAAATTAATACAAGAACTTTGGAAAACACTTTGGAACTGCCTGGGAAAGCTGAACACACATTTCCTACTACCTAGTCATTCTCCCATGTATTTAGGAGAAAGAGAGTATGCGCACTAAGATACGAGAATTTCACAACAGCATTATTCATGAATTAAAATGAAAAACAAAAACCAGAAACAATCCATATGTCCATCAAAAGTAAAATGGATAAATTATGGTATATTTATATACTGAAACATTCTACAGGAGTGAAACGAATGAAATACAACCATAAAAATTAACATGGATAAATATCAAAAGCATGTTGGTGAGTCAAAAAAAGCAAAAAGAATACACGATTTCACTTTCATGAAATTCAAAAACAGATCAACTGAACAATGCAAAACTCCAAAGAAAAGTAAGGAAATGATCAACACTGAAGTTATCCACAGGAAGAGAGAGGAAGAGCTTATCAGGAGGCCACACAGTTCTACTTCATAAGCTGGCAGTTGGTATGTAGGTGTTCATTTATTATTGTTATACCAATTATGCGTGCTCTACTATATGACTTCACAATTTAAAAAGACCATTAATGAGCTAAGTTAAAAGTTGTTTCCAGGGCAACTCAGGTAATCTAGGTGGATCCAGGGTTTTCAGAATTACTAAGAATATGGAATCAAAATTACTCCCAAACATTCTAGTTAATAATTGGCCTAATTACACGTTTAGTGCTTCTGTTCTACCTCCTAGTTCGCCGCATAGTGCCTGAGGTCTTAAAAACTTGCAAGCAGCCATCCAAGGCACAACTGGTCTCTATTCTGGTACAACAGAAAAAAAGGAGAGTCAGGAATAGGAGGAGGATATGGAATGTGTGGCTAATTGCCTCCATGAACAACTGCCTCCTATGCCATGAGACCAAAAGCACTGGATGGTGCCTGGCTACCATTACTCAGCATTTTGATCAAAGAGCCTATAGAAAAATCCTGATCAAAAGAGAATATGCAGAATAGAATTTCAAATTCTCAAGGACTCCAGATTTTCTGGAGCCATGGAGGCTGGATAAACCCCTGAAATTACTGCCCTGAGATCATCTTTAAACCTTAACCCAAAAATATCCCCTGAAATCTTCTTAAAACCAAACAATGGTCTAACTTAACTAGTAAAAAATGTCTGCCATGCCTTCAGCATTATGCTCTTTTAAGAATTATCTATATGGGATCAAAATGACAACAGCAATTGGAAAGATTAGATAAGAAACTTAGAGGGCAGTGCATTTATGTTAATGGGGGAGGAATAACTCAGAAAAGGAGGGTGAGAATGGATGCACAACTTGAAGAATTTAACGAATGTCACTGAATTGTACATGTAGAAACAGTTGAACTCGTGTGTTTTCCTGTGCACGTTCTCAACAACAAACTTTTCTAAAAAAAATTTACTCCCAAAAATACAACTATAATTTTTTGTCCTAACACTCCTTATAAACAATAAGTACAACATGATTCATATAAATACATAAACATCTGTGGGAAAAATTATGGAGGGACCCTTGCTCTTTTGAGAGATGACTAGTGAGAACAAACGATTACTAACCACTGGGTTAAACCAGAATTCAACCACCCAGTCCAATGGCTCAAGTTGCCAATTATCCTCCAGATCCATTATCCCCCTCTTGAATTAGTGGCTAGTTACCTTCTTCATCATCCACCTTAGGGAGAATGCCGGTCTCTTCATCAAAGTCTGGAAACTCTTCTTTGGAAAGGACGTTGGCAGCAATCATCTGGACAAAAAAACAGAAGGCAGCATTTGAAACCTCCTAGGATTAATGCTCTTTGTAGGAGAGTGAGTACAGAGGTTTCATGTAGGAAACCAAGCGTTTTTCTCCTCTGACCCAGGAGGCACAGCCTCAAATGACATATATCCCATTCCTGGAGGGCACTACACCATGGTGCCGAGAAGCATGAGTTCAAAAGTTCAGTCTCATCCCCAGGAAGAGTTATCTGCACCTTCCCTTGCTTCCACAGCACTCTGCACATTCCTTACGTAATCTTTCACAATTATTTGTTTAGATCTGTCTCCTCCACTGGACTTTGGGTTCCTCAAGGGTAGGCACCATGGTACATTTGTCTTTGTAGCCCTGGCATCTAGTATGGTCCCTGCCACTCTGTGGTTCTCAGATATTTACTGAAGAATGATGAAAACAAGAATGAGCACTTACATAGCATTCACCATATGCCAGGCACTGACCTAGGCACTTTACTTCTATTAACTCGTTTAATCCCTACACCACCACCAACATCCCCATTTTACAGATGAGAACACTACGCACAAAGAGGTAGAGTAACTTGGCTCAAGACTGCACAGGTGGTGAGCAGTCAGAAGTCACCACAGGCCGTCATGCTCCAGGGCCCATACTCTTAGCCACTATGCTACAGGCTGAATGACTACACGGGTATAAAAGTTAACGGGCCCAACCTGTTTGATCTCCCACTTCTCTGGATCAGAGATGCGGGTGAGGCGTTTGCGCTCCAGTGAATCATCCTCTACTTCAGGGGCACTGACAAGGGAGAGGTGAGTGGGTCTGTCAGGATTCCGCATTGAGGTCTCCTCATTGGTCTCCCCAACAAGATTTCTTCGTCGGTTTGGGTTCAGATCTTCTCCAGTCTCTTGATCTACATCCTAAGGCACAAAGATAATGGAGCTAGCTCACTTGCTGTCCTCTTATGTTTCCTTGGCCTTCGGATGTACAAACAGGCTGGACATCTCACCTACCTTCATGCTCAGGCTGGTCTTGGTCCCGGTGAAGGACAGCACTTTAACCTTGACCCTTTGGCCTTTGCTCACCACATCAGCCACATTGGCCACGCGGCCTTCCCGTCGGAGCTCAGAAATGTGCACCAGCCCTTCCCACCGCTTCCTGAGGAAGAGAGACAGATGGCAGATCTGGAGGATGCCTAAAAACGCCTTTTCCCAACTGATTTCCAGTCTTGTTGGAAGTGAACAAGAGGAAATGATCTTAAACTGAAAAGGAACATACCAAAAAGCTGGTCAAGCAATAAAACTGCATTACCACCCTTCCGAAGGAAAGAAATTGGGGAGACAAATTATCATATCTCAACTGGCAAAGAGCAGATGTCCTGAAGACAGAGGAAAAAATGTGAATTTATTCACATTTCAAATAAAAAATCAAATTCAAAAGAACCTTGTAGGACTCATTTGATTAAATTATCATTAATTTTAATAACCTTTTAGAATGTGAATATCTCCAATGATAAAAGAAATCGTGCCCATCACTAGTGTGAATGAAGAGTAAGCCATTACCTTAGTCCCTCCAGCTGCACAAAGCACCCAAACTGCATAATGCTGGTAACTTTGCCATTGTAAATGTCTCCGATGGCGGGCTCCTCAGGGGGAGGGCGGTCCACATGCTTATCCCGCCATCTGTCCAGATTCCTCTCCCCATACTTGTCCCGGTCCTTGCGGTCTTTGGGGGGACTCTGACTTCTGCTCCTGGACCGGTATCTAGACTTCCCTTTATTCCTCTCCCGGGTCCTGGAATGTGATCGAGAACGGGACCGGTGTCGCCGCTTATGGTCTCTGTCTCGGTCTCGTTCTCTGTCTCTGTCTCGATCTCGGCTCCTCTTCTTCTTCTTTGTCCTGTCCCTAACAAAATAATAAGTCCTAGTTTGAAAAAGAAACCAGCCCAACTTCATCTTTGCACCCCCAAGCACTCAGCACAGTGTCATGCACATGCTAGGTGCTCACTAAGCGTTGAATTAACTTGAATTTCAGTAACTATGACATCCCTGCAGGTCAATAAAAGGATCAGGCTGCAAACATATTCATATTCAGTCCCTTTCAACCCAGGTTTCTATCTCCTGACCATCTTATCATTTGCTGCATAAACCCTCTTGGCAGAGAATAAAATCTGATCCAAGAATAAAATGCATGGTCAGTCCAGATTCTGTAAACTTGCCCAAAATTCTGCATGGCTAGTCCACAAAATTCAACTATCACCGTCAATATTGTAAACTTTCAAAGAATCCCAAGGACAAACCGGTGCTCAGCATCTCTCTGCTTGTCCTGGCCTGCTGCGCTGGGCATTAAGGCTTCCAGTTCTTTCAGGACATCCACAGCGACTTTCACATCATCTTCGTCCAACATGGTCTACAGGGGCAGGGCCCGCAGAGTTAGGAGAAGAGGGGGAAAATACCACTCAGGAATCTGTACTTCAGGTGTGTCTACCAATCTAACAACCCCTATATCACAGACCACTGATACAAAGGAAGCAGAAGAGGGGTGGCAATTTCCAACATGATTCAAAACAGGGCAGAAAGAATGAGCAAAGGCTCTTGGAAGTCACTTCTACGCTTGGCAAATCTTTATCCTTAATATAACCCTATGGGAGGCAATTCAATATTAACCAACCCTCCTGTGAAGGCATGCAAGTGATGATTATGAAAGGAACACAGACACTAAAAACTTTTTAAAGAGCAACCCTCCCTCTGCCCTCCCTTCCCCCTTTACTCTGCTTTATTTTTTTCCGTAGTCCTTAATGATACCAGCAACATATACCTACTAATTTGTTTACTGCCTGTCTCCTCCCCACTAGACTATCTACATGTTTATTTCCTCCCCCCACCCCCAACACTAGAACGTAATCTCCAAGAAGGCAGGACCTCTTGTCTGTTTTGTGCACTGCTGTATCTCTGGTACTTAGAACAGTGCTGACATACAGTACGTAATTAACAAACATTGGCTAAAACAAAATAAAAAATCAAAACACTTCAAAAATTAGACTTCCTAACATGTAATAAAGCAAAAAATCTAATTTCACACATCAGGCACCTGTTCCAGAACCTTAAGTTATTTCGTATCTATTTCATATCCCTGATTGCTGCTTCCCATAATTCCCAATCTTACTTCCCTTGAATATCATTCCCCAAATCCTTTAACAGTATTCTATTCATAACAGATGCTCAAGGAGTGATTTGTAAATCAAATGCTTTCATTTTGAACAATATATAACACAAAGACAAACTTAAAATCAATAAAACAAAAAATGAGACACACAAAAGGGGAGGAAAGCATGCAGTTATAGTAGACATTCTCAAAATGGTTATCAATACCCGAACGGAAGGGTTGTCTGGTTGGCAAAAAACTGGGAAGAGTTCCTTCAGCTTTTCTTTTTCAGTTTTGGGTTTAACAACTGGATCTTGTTTCATTAAAGAGCATGAGGGGGTTAAAAAAAAAAAAAAAAAGTATTTAATGTTCTTAATAGTTAATAAAACAACATCAACATTAGATTCACATCAAACAAAAAAAGAACGCGGCATCTTGCTATATATTAATCGTATACATTACTATAAACATAACTTACTAAAAACACTGACCACAAACACCTCAGCAGGCCGAGTATCAGGGCATGTGGCAAGGAGGGGGCACAGCAGAGCTCATTTGGTTATGACTTACAATTTTAACTTTGTCTCAATTAATTTGAAAATTTCCACTACAACATTTACTTGCTCAGCAACTGCTAGAAGGAAAACAAATGCAACTTACTGGATGCTTACAACCTGAACCATGCTCAGCAGGAAGCTCTACTCACCTTTGCTAGTAGAAGGCTTTGCTGGAGGCCGCATGGTTTGTATGAGACGCAGCAAGTTACTAATAAGAGAATCCTTTGAAAAGAAACATAGAACAAAAATTGTCAGTCACTTGATTAATCCTTAAATACACTTACAAAAGGCAAAGAACATTCTTTGGAGAAGGGTAGTTATGCACCTGAATTTAGCTAATTGGAACAAATGAAGCATAGAGTGTCAACTTGATGTGGCACGGACATAGTACAGAACCTTCAGAGAAAGCTAATATTTAGGGCTCTTTGGTGAAAAAGTTATTTAACTCCCTCCCACCATTTTATTTTCCATGGCTTAGAATGACCTCCAAAACCAGACTCTTGTTTCTGACTTCCTGCATTCACAGCACAAGAATGTAAACACCCACAAAGACTTAATGATGAAAATCCTGCCCCATTTTCCTAGAAAGGCGTCACGGGAAATCTGGTTCCATCTCTACTGCTTAAAAAACCAAACCCATTGCTGTCAAGTCAATTCTGACTCCTTGCTACCCTACAGGACAGAGAAGAAACTGCCCCATAGGGTTTCCAAGGCTGTAATCTTCATGGAAGCGCACTGCCATATCTTTCTCCCACAGAGCAGCTGGTGAGTTTGAACCACTGACCTTTCGGTTAGTAGCCGAGCCCTTAGCCACTGAGCCACTGGGACTTAGTGGCACAAAAACATTACATAGTTAACAGCTTATTTGATTGCATGTACAAATTTTTTTTCCCTCCCTACATCAAAACTCTATTTTTAAATTCAATAGTGGCAACAAACAAAACAGGAGTCTCCAGTTACACATACCGTGAACTCTGCACCATTTTTAACCAGAGAAGTCTTAAAAGTATCAAAGGTGGTATTTTTCTCAGCAAGACTGATCACAAATTCAGCTGCAAACAAGAAAAGAAATTAAAACAAGAAACAAATGGCAACTTGGACAAGAAATCAGATTCAAGTATGTCAAAAAGAACTAATTTTCTATGTTTGTGCTGATGAATTTTTATAAATAAGAAGATACTACTACAAAACCGTTCACCAGGCCCTTGACTGCATTTAAACTGGGAAAGACCCGCTATTTGCCGCAGATCATTGTACCTTCTCACAAAACTACTAGTTGGGTACACTGCCATACAGACCCTAGATACGACAATGTCTAAAAGTATGAGCACATGTATACACATGCACACAGACACATGGACACAGTTTCTAAAGGGACAAACTCTATTTATGAGGACAAGGCAGCTGCTGGCTGGTACAACCTGCAAGTTGATGACTCACCTGCCCTGCAAATTTTTCTCCACAAACCTGCCTAGTTCTTGAAATTTCTAACATTAGAGCCATTTATTAATTGAGAAACTTTCAGGAGAGAAGTGTATTTTACCATGGGCTGAGATAATCCTCACAGTAAATTCCACAAAAAAGTTTTTTTAATTTTCTGATTTCTTTTGGATGCTAATCCTACCAAAAAATAATAATACTATAAGCATACCTGAAAGATCTGTGCGATGAGCTTATAACTAGTCCTACCATACTACTTCTGTGTGGGAATGTGCCTTTACCTTTTTGATGACATTGAGTAAAAGCCAAATGCCATCTGGCTACGTGAACAAAGACTATACATAATAACAATGTAATAAAAACAACTGTCGATAGTTAACATTTTTTGAACATCTTCTCTGTGCCAGGCACTATGCTAAGAGCTTTATGTGGATTATCCCCATGATTCTCACAACAACCCTCAGAGATAGATACCATTACTGTCCCCATTTTATAGATGAGGAAGCTGAGGGTTTGTGAAGCTAACCTACCCAATAATACCTGGTGGAGCCAGGACTGGAACTCAGGCAATCTGACTTCAGAGCCCACATTCTTCAGACAAAAGAGGGAGAACTGAGTCCCATGGTGCTAGGCATGCCAGGCTCAGAAGAGCCTACCCCGAAGCATCAGCAGTCATTAATCAGTATTAGTTTTTTCACTTTTCTGAATAAAAAGGGACTCCATTAAATTGATTGGGCTATCAAAAAAGGATCAGTAGTTAAAAACAACTTAGTTCATTGTTGAAAACAGGAAAAATAATGACATTGATTTGAATATTTCACCACAGTCAAAATCAAAAGAATTAAGTCAGCCCAATGTGAGGCAAGGCGAGAGAACGCAGGAGCCAGGGTACTGGTATTCATCCCTCAACTTGCTTGCTGTGACATCTCCAGCTGTGACTGGCTCCTTTCAAGCTTTGGCAACATCACCTCCCATTCTCAGTTTGAAGCCCTGCTCTTGCTAATTTCTGATGGCCTCACCATTCCCCAATTAAAAAAAAAAATTAAATCAACAAATAAAACATAAAAGTAAATATACATACATACACACACACACATATATACATATATAAAATTCTGTTATTAAATCTAATCCAGGCAATTTAGTTTCAACAAAACAACACTGTCACAATAAATTCAGATTACTACTTCTAATGTTATTGGTTTTGTAATTCTGCGTATGACATAAAAATCATATTTGTAGCTTATTTGCAAATTTCTTTAGGGTTTCTAGTGGCAAACAGTAAAATCTCTGAATCTGTTAAAAATAAAAGCAAAGAAGTTTATTGAGGATAATCCAATTCGTAAACTGGGGAAACAGAAGGCGGAGAGGAAACTACCAAGTGCTCCAACATTCCCAGAGAGAGGTGAGCCTTTTATATGGCAAAAAGGGGAAGGGTAGCGCATGATTAGCAATAAAATGGGGAGAGGTAGCAAGAGACTACCAATACCATAACCTCTCTTAACATCAGCAAACTCTACCTGCAACATCCACATTCTCACCTCCACCCTTATTAGCTAAGTTTAGGGAAATCACAGGCTACATTCTCAAGAACGCAGAGACTTTGGTCAAGCTAAAGTCTGATTCAAAATGGAATCTAGTTAACAATATGGAGTTCTGTTCAAACCAGGATTAGCTATCCTGTTCCAGCCAGGTACCTAATCTGGAGTATTCCTATACATCAGTTATACAAAAGCCTTTTTACCTCACTTTATTTTTGGATACGATTAGGTTAACATCAAAACAATTTAAATTAACTCTTATGCACTGCTGGTGGGAATGCAAAATGATACAACCATTTTGGAAAATGATATGGCGTTTCCTCAGAAAGCTAGAAATAGACATACCATTCGATCCAGCAATCCCACTCCTAGGAATATATCCTAGAGAAATAAGAGTCGTCACTCGAATAGACATA